TATATGCCGGTTCAACTAGTACTATTACAAACACACAGGCAGACAAACGGACGCATAGCCATCTTTCACGAGCAACAGTAACATGAGCAGTGACAATATTTCCTGTAGCTGAGATGGTAGTGGCAAAAATTTCGGAAACTGCACGCATATAACAAAAAGCTGATGGATGCTTCCCCTTACATTTTTCATACACGCAAACGATGCGGTGTGCTCTGCTATGTTAAGCCGCGCCCCGTCAAGGGCAAATAAGAAACTTCACCATAATATAATAGGCACTACGATAACTTACACATACAAATATACAAATATATTTCTGGCAAATGAAGCGTACTCATTGCTTGACCTTATAAAGAGATGCCAAGTATAAAGCAACTATGCAAAGTAAAACTAAATCGCTAAGTTGGCATCATGTCACGTCATACAGAGTGGTTGCTTTTCGCGACCAACTAATGGCGTTCAAATCGCATCGAATGAGCCTCCCCCGGTCCTGCATTATAAGTTCTTGTGGTCCAGGAACGAAAAAAGAACAGACCAGTCACCCTCCCTCTATCGCGGCGTTACAACATCTACCATCAAGACCACCGCTACCGGCAGGAAAGCTCCTCCTCGAATGCGAGCAGTCACACGAACTAAAATGGAAAGAGGGTAGCCGTCACCGGCGGGCAGACAGGACAGTCGGACAAACTGACATTACCCGGGACCATAACGCTCCGAACACCTGATCCGTTCCCGGGTCCCGAACATTGTCTGGCGCATTTCCAACCTTGCCTGTAAATGTTCTTCGAGCAAGAACAGCAACTACGACAACAACAACAACAACAGTGATATCGACAGCAGCAGCTGTAGCGGTGCCAAACCAACCCAATCGGCAGCAGACGTGTCAGCGGCACGGCAGCGTGGCAATCCAGGCCACCCAGAAAATCCCTCCGAGCCGATTATGAAGCGCCCGTAACTCAACGCAACGAAAAACAAGACAAACAGCAAAGGCATGGCACGGGCGGACGCATAGGCTCGTTCGGTCGCTACTCGTTTACTCGTTCGCCAGCCAACAAATACGGCAACAGCGGCCACAAGCAATCAGTGAACCCTGCACGTTCAACAGAGGCGCCGCACAACAGGCTGCTCCCGCAACTGCCGCTGGGCCCGTTGGCTTCGTTGAGTGCGGTGTGCAAGAGTCTCACCATCTACTACGACGCTATGCTATCATTCTATGGCGACGACGCCTTTTGTCGAAACAGCGGCCGATAGCCTTGTGGCTGCCGTTGCTAAAATCCTGCTGCTGCCGCTGCTGACGATGTACCAGGGTACCTTAATACTGCTGTTATTTTAACTGGCCCAGATTATCTTTTATTTTATGTTTTGTAGGAAGCAAGACAAAGCCTAGCGGTTACGCAGAGTGGTGTGGAGGCGGATCTGCCAATTAGTAATCAATAGGGGCGAGACATTGCACAAAGCGGCAAAATGGAATAGCGAAACTTAACAACAACGAAAAAACCATAAAAAAATCTTGTATATAACGATATATACGATATCACAATTATGTTTCGATTTCAACGTTTGCGTTGCATCCTCCGGACGATATTGTATTCATAAAACACGATAATCCTTCAAAACGTAATCATATATTTGTACAATACAGCAGCTTCAGCGGTTTGAATCTATTTGCGAAATAGATGTTGTTTTCATAAAATATTATTTGGAAACGAATTTACCTTCCCTGTTCGTATCTACATAGAAATGCAAATACAAACTGATTGAATTCGTGTACACAAGAAAATATCTATCCCACAAGAACTGTATGACATGACATAGTATATGCAAGCAGAACTTCAAGATAACATCAAGTTAACAGATGTCTAATCGAATATGGCTGACCGAATGACCTCAACCCACACGCTCGCCCGTCAAAAACGACCTCAAGTTTGCTATCTCGTCAAGCCATCACTATTGCCCTTTTTACAGATTTCATCACGTGCGTATCGTGTATTCAAGGTACATACGAATATCCGTACAACGATAACTCCTTTAACTTAACGAGAAAAAAGTGGCAGAGGGTTGCCCATTGCTATCAGTGGTCATTCCAGTCCAGTAAAATAACGAACTAACTGCTATGTACTAAATACACATAATAAACTAGAGATGAATACATCCCTACATACATATCACGTCTCTCTTTGCCTCAAGGGGGTTGTTCTGCCACTGACCCCATCCTCATTTCAATTCTAGCTGCGCTCGTCACCATCGTCGACCGTTAACTGCATAATCGCCCTGAACCACCTTCACTAAGGACCGTTCGCATTATTCAACGACAACAACATAGAAAAACGAACTCCACGAGATATAATAATTCCACTCGAACAAGTTAAGTACATACGATCTTAAGTGTGTTCCTAAACGGCGACGTCTTTTCGCCTTTTCAGTGGTCTGGCCGATGCTTGGCCCCGTTATCGCCCCTGCGTATGTTAGGCAGCCTACCGCAGGGCCCATATATCGTAGAGTTGTGTGGATTGTTACTGCTACTTATGCGGTTGTTGTCCTCAAGAAGGAACGATAGAATAACCTAACCACTGAACGAATGATTGACAGGCAGTAACATCACATAACGCTATTACGTTTGCGCAATAACAGTTATCATAAGCCATGGGACAAGGCTAGAGAATACTATATTGTATGTTAAGACTCGAGTCAGAAATGCCATGAAGGCATTGGTCCGTGGCGAAATCAATGTCAGCGTGTACACTGCAGCCAAGTGGAAATAAATGATAATATTCTAGCATTTGCGCAGTTATAATCTAATGGGCATCTATTGGACCTAAAATGGTTTGTATGCGCATACTACATGTGACACTAATGTTGTTTTGTGAATGTTGACAAAAATTGCCATGGTGGCATCTATGATGGAAGCTCGTGATGAGCTTGAAAAACTCCGGCGTACCGTGGTGAGCGAGTTAGTGTTGGCGGGCAAACGGCATAGCCAGCGGAAACGCCCCCAAGACATCCAGTCACCAACAAACTAAGAGGCGAGTGAATACCAATAATATACCCCAGTCTGGCCGGGCCAAACGGATACGGGAGAAGGTCCGATTGGCTCCGGACAGCAGCAGTAGTCGCAGCCACTCCAACCGTAGCGGCTGCAGGAGCAACTACGATAAGTCCGGAAGAGGCACCACCATTACTCTTAGCGTACCGTCAACATCGTCATGAACACACAACAGCATTAGGGTCAATTCGAACGACAATGGACGGTCATCAGTTGTTATTATGGGGGGGGGGGGGGGGCAAACGGCATCAGAGAAATGGGAAAGGGCGGATGGGGGGAACAAGAGAACGAGAGATGAATTACATGTATATAGACGTACGTCATATATAAAAATAGATTTTTATTAAATGCACGTAATGAGTGAGCTGGCCAGCCGGAAGACTGTAAGGCGAGACCGGTCTGATAAATCCACCGACTACTAGCAAAACGATTCAGGACACGCAGATGGCTACCGGGAAAACCTCGCTGGTTTTAGACATGGACAAGCCACAACAGCCAATCTATAGCATCGATGACCGCGCCACTTAGTCACAGCAGTAGCTGTGTCGTCCAACCAATTAGAATACGATTGAATACTCTATCATCCAGCAACGCTACGAAATGCTACTTAATGAGAACCGAAGGTGTGTGATGCTAGCGGCCATATGCACCGAACTGCTGCTGCTGCTTTTCCAAAACACGCATGCATACACACAGACACAAACAGGTACCTGAATAAACAGTAATAACAACAATCATAACTGCAACAACAATAACATCAGAGGAGTTCGTAACAAAAATATATGCTGAACTCGTTCAATCGAGCAGCTGCAGCAAGAGCGTTAAAAAGTTGTTAGCAATTTGCCATTTTTCACAAATGTCACAACAACAACAGCAACAACAGGTTACTTCTTTTAGTGAAAATTGTGTCACTCGGACAGATAATGTTTTCATTTCTGAGCTGTGTTTCATACTGATAGTAATTGTTATAATACAGGTTGCCGCAAACAGACAGATAATATCTCAACCCCAGGCTAATCCTGTTGCTAATGGTGTGCAACCACCCTAAACCCACCAGTTGTCGCTTGGACATAGGGGGTTGGATATAATGACATTATTGTACCCACTAAACAAGTGAAATAATATAATACGGGTAATCATTTCAAGTATATTCCGCTCCTATGCACGGTATGCATACTCATTTTACTGCTTATTCATTTACTCCTTATTATAAAGAAACAGATAAAGAGACTAATCCGTCGATGATTGGCGATTGACGGCTGAACGCTGTGAGTTATGAGACGAAGTTGATCCCAGCACCAAGAGACACACAAATCCGTGTTGTATTACATGCATGTGTGTGTGTACTGGCCTGCTCTAGTTAATACGACGATGATGATGATGATTACTATTATTATTATTAGGGGAGATGGGGGCTTGTAATCGGGCGAGCAGCAACAGTGCCTTAAGTCACAGCATCATCATCACAAATAGCCATTTATAAGGATATACTACTATTAAAGCATGTAGGGTAATAGGCGCGACCAACGCCAGCGGTGTCCTCAACAGCACGATCTTGTTACTGCTATGGCACTAGTAGCTAAGTTAGCTTAGCAGCAGAGAGCAGCTACCGCAGCAATAAAGCAGAGGATCACTGAGTGACCCTCTGGCAGCAGCAGCAACAGCAGCTGCTGCTGCTGCTGCTGTGGTCGAAGCACCACCAGGCCCGGCCAGCAACACGTATCAGGCAGTAAGCCCTCGAACCGCCACCCGGCAAAAACACTCGGCGTTGGACTATACTGGATCAGCTCGGACTGGCCCGGGGCGATGAACTTGCATGATGAATCCGCCAGCCAAGCCACACAACTTCACAACTCAGTACTAGAAATAATAATAATAGTAGCAGTTGTACTTATAACATTTGAATCTATAGTATTCGTAATAGCATAGTACATATAAGCTACCTCGAAAAAAAACCAACCTGGCAAACTCCGCCGGTGGGAATCTTTTGAGCATAGAAGACGACACAGTTTAGCCCGCCGCACTGAAGTCGCTCACGAGTGACGATCCTTGCTGCCGCTGTTTCAGCTCCACCTCAAGAGGTTGTTTTTTTTTAGCCACGGTTTTTCGTCGGCCACAAAAAACGCGACAACAGACAACGACTACACGGCAATATGCACACACACGCACGCACACACACACACACACACACACAAAAACGGTTGGGGCAAACACACTCTGTGTGATAAGCACAGAGAGAGACGGAGAAAGCGGCCTACACACACTTCAGATTTAGCTACACACAAAACAGCTCGGTACAAAGGACTAGGCCACGACGGCTACACAAGAGAAGCCCCTGCACGACACCGAATTCGGACAGCACCGCACGCAGCGGTGGCGGCAGATGTAACAGCAACGGCGGAACTCGTACGCAACGGCACGGGTGGAGGCGACACGAGCCGCACTAACGAGAACACAACGGTGACGAGCACAGCGAAGCCGCTCGTGAACAACACAGGATGTGCAGCAGCAGATTCTGCTGCTCGGGCAGCAAGGGCCAGCGTACCTAGGCGGCGCCACAGTCGGGACATGGCCGCTTGTCAACAAGCGCATCGCCTTGTCGCCCGGCCGGGCCAGGTGGCAGTGTGGCCGGTTGAAACACATGAAAAAGCCATGTCATCAGTTAGTTGTCATCTTTAATCGCACGCTTCCAGTTGAAAGTGATGATCATTTCTAGTAGAAATAGCGAAATTCGTCGCCTGCGCTTGTCGAACAGTGGCCGCCAGCGGAGGCGACGAGGGTCGAGTTGTCCGCACCGTGGTTGTCGCGCCGCGGCAGACAAGTCGCGAAGATTTAGAAGGGTGGCGCGAGACCGGCGGGGTTGAGCGCCGCTCACCGGTTGAGTCCAAGTGTATTCAATGTTCATTTTAATGCGGCTCACACTGTTGCGCCGCGCCAGCGGCAAATAGAGGGTTGTATGAGCAGAGAGCCCGATTATTTGTTGTTGTTATTGTTGCTGTTGTTGTTAGGATTGTTGGTATGGTCGTGGGCCGGTTTGTCTGTCGGTCGGAGTGAGGCTGCTGATTGCGCCGACAGCGAATTCGCCTGAGGTTGAGGGTAAGGCTCGTGCCGCAACTCGCCGAAAATTGTTCAGTAACTATATATATGTCTGCGTATATATAACTACTCCAAGAATACAGATGAACCAAAAATAACAAGTAGAAAAGTTTCCTAGTACGATAACGTGCGAAAATCTGGAGATGCGTATGTGGACGTGCATATAATAAAATGGAATGCTGTGTTCTTGGTTAGTGAATGAGAATTGGATCAAAAATGCATAGTAGATGTATAGGTAAAACTTAATTCTATTTTAACTTCTATTTAGTTTGCTAGTGGGAGCGAGTTGTTCAAGACGTGAGGTGAATTGTTAAACCCTTTTACATAATAAGTAATAATAACAAAATACCCAGTACACCGCAAATCGGGGAAACAAACTGATACCACAAAACGTTATATTCTAAATTTTAATAAGGATAACTTTAATAAAAAATATTTAAGACTTTATAATGAATGAGCGGCCATATTTTATATCATCCGTATGCACTGAGAAGTATACAAAACAGAACATTTTATGAAACAAGCTTATTCTAAATAATAACCATATAATGAATTAATGCAATTAGCTGCCTCATTATAAATGACATGACATAAATGAAATGGCGCGCGCGTTCAATAGTGGTGGCTCTTAACGAAATAGTAATAACAACAATTTTGTTTAGCCGATGCTCTTAGCGCGCCTGGCTGTAGATGACACACCTTTTCTGTGAACCATTTAAACATTTTAGCCCATCGCTGTTTGTAGGAGTGAAGAGCGATATTTGCCCAACCTCTTTTTCTTACGGATCCCGTGAGCTTGTCTATCACTCATTAGCTCTGGCTTAGTCATTGTTTATTTCTGTCGAGTTCCAAGGAGTTGCAATGGAGGTTCATAGGTAGAACTCTATCCCTTTCTGTTATCGACCCTCCAATCCTGCAATCACACATTTGACGAAATCATAATCTATTAATCTCCACGAATTTTATTATTCTTTATTAAGACAAAGTTCTGTATTGCTCGGTCTATGGTCTATATATATATATATATATATATATATATATATATATAAACTTATTTTTCTACCTGTATTTCAAGTACGTGAGTATATTCGATGAAATAAAGGAAACAGATGACTAATATATACTATGACCGTCGCGAGTGCAATGACACGCGATAATGCAAGTGTTAATCTTATTTTAATGGGCTATCTGATAGTTGAGTCCCATAATACGAATGAAATAGCAGCCAAATTGAGAGGACGCTAATTAAATAATCTTCTCTACGAGATACGACCTGAATTAATACACCCTCCCCTTCAACAGAAGAAACTGCTGACATCACAAAATTTTCCTTTACACTATTTTCTTTCATTGTTCCCTATATGTACTAGAGTGCATGAGAAAAACGCTCATCTACTGCCTCATTTCAATTAGGATGAGCGCCACGGCGAAATTACTCAAACACAAATAATCCTTTGCAGAACAGTAAATAACCTTTTCCCACATATCTGGTCGTATAATAGAGCTGCTGCTCATAGAAACCCAGCTCTTCTTAAACTCCTCAAAACAACTCTCAAGCATCCTCGGGCCACCCCCTTCGAAAGTCATTCCCCATACCGTCCGTCGTCTTGCCCGCCTTCGCTATAATGGTCCTGGAAATAGGCAAGCGTTTACTGCACCAGCCAAATGTCTCCGTATGAAAGCGACGAACCCAGATACGAAGGATTCTATTAGCGCTCTAGACGAAACGCTTTATAGGATGAAAACAAATCTTGATGCAGTTTACTTAAATAAAAAAAATTATTCGCAAATTGGCTTTAGTAAAGGCATTTTGTTGTATGTTATTTATCAGTGTTTTAAGTAGTAGATAAACAAGCATAGAAATTACGTGGATTTTCAAGTTTGAACCCATATTCTACCTTTGATCGGATTGAGAACGTAGTCTGAAAACGCTTCGACGCGTATTTTCCTTAAATAGTAGCGCAGTGGAGCCCTTATTTATTCTTACCATCGTAATTAAAAAGTTATGTGGTTATTAGTTATGTATTTTTTTTAATAATTATGTTAGTTTTTAAAGATATGTATATTCAGCAATTCTGATACTATAGGTAACACATTTTGCTTATATATATAGACGTCTAGAAATATCCTGCTGAAAAAATATTCAAAGAGATACGCTTGTTCTTCGAACATTCAGCCGCTGCTAACTTCAATTATAGGAGGACGCGATAAAGAGTAAAGCTCATGGAAATAAACAGGTAAGTAGGAGGCCTGCAAAAACCTTGTTTGCATTTTTACAAACAATGTTGCAAATATCAGATTTCAGCTACAAGTGGCATGTCTATCTAAGTTAAGAGGAAGGTAAACATGCATTTAATTAGAGCAGATGTTGCGCGCAATTAAACGAATTTCTTTGATCAATTTATACTACTAATACGAAGCATTTGATCTACCACCTAAAAATTAGAATGAGTGATTCAAAACACACCGTACCACTGTTTTCGACCATATCTTGTGATAACTGAAGTAATACCTCACGGCTTGAATATCACACGTAAGATTTTTGAGCCATAATAATATAATAATAGTATAATGGATAAAGATAATAAGATAGCTAATTTTTGTAATATCCTATTCACTGACTAAGGAAAATCTTTTGAATGACCATAGGAGCCCTTTTTGATCAACAAAAAAAAAAGTGATAAGCCAGCTTTTTATATATACTGCTAAAAAAAGATTCTGAAATCGCCGCCGATTCTGATCTTGGTAAGTGGTACTAATAGAGCTTGCCCAGAATTGCCACATACGTTATTGTTGTCATTTCTATATTTCTAGTTAGTTCGTAATTATTTTATCAGATGTTACTTCAAACCATCCGCGATATGATGGGACTAATAAAAATAATAGAGATGTTATTGGTATTACAGATTTGTTGCATTTTTTCCTTACTGAAAACTCGGAAGCAAATCCAAACTAAGCGTGACCTTAATTCGCTGCCATGCCAGTTAACGCATCAATATGCTCACGATCTAGATCTAGATACGCTCTGTTAGACCAATTCCTCAATTAACAGGCTTGTTTGTTTAAAGGGGGTTAAAGCGCTTGTTGATAAAAACTAAACAGTGGTTAAGCCTAACGTTAGAGGGCTTCAATTTTTAATTTAGGCCTCGCATAAATTGTATTGTACGTAAAAGCTCTTTTACATTATTTTAGTTTTAGTGAGTATATAAGCTTCAGATATCGCGAGCGCATAAAGCACCGGCTTATGTCGGATACATGTCTGATTGCAACTATAAAGAAAACACTAATATTTTCTTTTTTTTTTTCTTGCTGACAATACATTTTGATGCTAGACGCATAAGTGTCCACATCGAATTTAGGACCCGTGCCGCAATTTGAATGGCCTAAAAAGTAGACTAATGCCGTGACCCTTACATGTAGTGCCAAGTAGAGTTATTTTTTCATCAGCCCGATGCATCAATCGCCGTTGCTCTCAGATTGTTACACAGTGTGGATTTTCAGCAGATTTTCTGCTAATAAACCTGCTTACCTACCTTCTATTTTTATTTTAAGTGAAAGTAATTATATATATATATATATATATAGTTAGTGATAGTTTCGGGTCGTTCACTAAGATATTACAGAATAAATGTACAAATGACAGAGGCAACGCAATGACTTCGCGAGTATAATTTTGTTTGTATTTGTTGATTTTCATAACCTACGTATCCCTTTGGTTGCTGGAAACGGCGACCACTGGTCTTTTTACTTAAACCCTGCTTGAATAAATAGTGAATTTTACCTGAATTAATCAAATGGATACAATACCTTGCTGCAAAGTGTTTACGGCGGTAAAAAATGTGGAGTAGATAATCCTTTATACATCAACCAGTTTAGGCATCGATAAAATAGCAGGGATTAATTCAGTGTAATGCTCATTGGAGCTATGTAAATCTCGATAGGTATTCCTTGTCTAAGTAATATACAGGTTACAAATAAAAATGAACTTGCAAAAGTTATCCATGGACGGTGTATTGTAGAATCGATGTTATGGCGTCTTGAGGCAGGACTGTTAAGGGGTGACCGTGCATTTTCAAAGGAAGCATGCGAAATGTCGTTTACTTTATGAATACGCGTTTACCATTCCAAAGTAATGTCTAATCCACAAATTCTAACTTAATTGTCAATATAGAATAAGCGCTTTCTATGCGCTTGCCTCATGTGTACGAGAAACCTAGTTTTAGTTTTTGGTACGATACAACAATGTTTTTTTACAAATTCTCCTTTTTTTTGCTGTATCCATGAAAGCCTCTGTTTACAGGAAACTAACAGCATATCAACTTATTTCACATCAGAAACTGAATCTACATTTTTTTTCACTTTAGATTTCTTTCTATCTAACTTTTTATTCGATCGATAACAAATGCCCAAAAGCCAAGCTGCCTGCAATTACACTCTAAACTAAGAAAATATGTATGAAAATCTGTTTTGCGTATCTTCTACTATTCAATGTTTTTTTTTTATTAGTCATTTTCGTTGATTTGCCAGTAAAGTATCCTCTTATTATGTCGCCATTGTTGTACGTAATGCTGTCTGCTTTAATGGATAATCACGGTAATTACTTATAGAAAAAATTAGCAGTCGCTGTGAAGCTCAGTTGATGAGACGCTCTTACTTACATACTCTCTACCCTTCTAATTGTGATGGGTACTGAAACGAGAGCATACACTCAATGGTTTAGCAGCGCACAGTACGCTACCGGCTCGTTTGACGGCAACTTACATGAAAACTAACACGGTTCGTGAATGTCAATTGCACTATAACGCGCCAGTATAAATCTTTATTTAGAGAAGATGTTTCTTAAAATGGGTAGATTATCACGCTGGACCGTTGCAGTCGACCATCTTGCTGAAACAGATTGCGCAGTTACATCGGTATTTACGTCTTTCGAGCGATACACTTTAGTGGTTGTTGAAATCGTATCAAAATTCTAAGGGCATTCGGTTTAATGCGCAGAAATGCGGCGACTTTCAGCATGCTTGCTTTAACCATTTTACATTTATATGAACACTTCCAAGCTTCGTGTCTATTGAAAATGCACACAGTTGCGCCGTAATAAATAGATTTATGAAGAGTTTAGCAGCAGGACAAGTCATTTGGCTTTGAAAGGACCCTTTTTACTAGACAATGAAACTATGTTCATAAATTTACGTTCAAAGAATTAATGGTTCCAACACACTAGCTCGTTTGATACTTAAATGTATAGTTATAATAAGCAGTTGCAAACAGAGTCTGAACTGTTCCAAAAAGATATTTGCAATTGAAATAGCTAGCACTTATAGTTACTACCATTAAAACTGGTATATCACGTAGCGCGCATGCAATTTTTAGCCCTGCGAGATACTCTCTTTTTGAGCCCAAAATACTATATATTTGCTATCGATTAATTAGAACTCATTAAAAACACAAAATTATTCAGTTCTGCCTAGATATTTGATTTTTCTCTTCTAGTGCAGATGTATATTCGCGACTTGATAATAATAGTGCGTAATAATATCAGACACATCATTCACCATCAATTGTTTCATCGCGTCCTTTTACTCGTTTCCTTTTATTCGGATCCCTATCGGTACAGATTCACTTACATAAGAATAGTGGCATTATCCCACCTCGTCAACTAAAATCACTCTAGCCTTTCCTGTTAACCACGACTTCGTTTAACAATCAAACGCTTCACTAACATTAACAACGAGGGCTCATCAACTGAAATCACTGAGTATTAAGTATACTACGAATATAACATATAAATCAAAAGGAAAAAACGCAAATCGCGAAATACCTTAAAAATTGCTTAACAACCTTTATGAGAAGCTTAGTACTACAAATTATTACATAACTCAATATTATCGTTGTGTTAACCGTAACACAATAAATAAACTCATTTTATTTATCCGCTAGTAATAATAATAGGAAAACGAATAGAATTTTCAGTAACACTAATATAGGGAGAAAAGACCAATGGAAAGCATTTTATAAAGATAAGTCAAGCGATCAAATAATCTTTTAATTAACACAGTAATCATAACCGAACAGTCCATTCTTCTTACGTTAATTACACGACCAATTTACTAATTAAACAATTTTGTTCACTTCAGTTGGCCTTCTTGTTTTAGGCTGCATTGTCGCCGTTATCGCTGTCGGTCTCATATATGTAGTCATCAGCTGCCCCCGCAGCAGCGTTTCCCCCGAACGATTTTACAGCTCCGGCCGCCGCAGCAACTTGGGAGGCGAGCGAGGGCGTGAACCCTGTATGCCCCGCATTGGGCAACGGCCCGCCAGATGACATGGGCCGCATTTTGGACTGGCGACTTTCTCTTAGCTCTAGATCATCGTTATTATCATCTAAATCATTTTCACTTTCGGAAGAAGGGAGCTCTTCAAGACCTAGCCGTTTCATGGCTGCTGCTTCTCGTTCGATTCGTTCTACTTCCTTTGCCTGAAAATAGTCCGATATTGACGAATGCTTATTGTCATGGATTGTCTGAATTATAGACTCGGTTTTACGAAGAGAATGCAATTTATAGTCAGACAATAAATTTAAAGTTTCTATTTAATTCGAAATTAAATTGCAGAGAGAAATGCACCAGCTTGATTTGAATATATACATGGAAATTGTACAGCTAGTTAGCACGAGATTCGCATCTGTAGATCTCAGAGTTGTATAATAAAGAGGTAACTAGGATTCAATGTATCGCTGAAAAACCGCTGAAGCTGGAATGGTGACCCTCGTATCTAGTTATGTGTCTAGTGTAAAATACTTCACAATAGTATCTTTGGGTCTTAAATCTTGGGTCTTAAATTGAATACACAGTGAGTCTCACGACATAATTGTATCATTATTGTTTTACACACCTTAAGGACGTCCTTCAGTTGACTAAGCACTGGCGGCGCAAGTGATGCACCCGACGGATCCCTATCTTCGAAGTCGCGGTTTCTGTCTCCTCCATCAACAGCATCAGAACGCCTTTGGCTGTCGGTCTTTCCAAAATACACCTCATCGTGTTCAGGCCCCGATGGTAAACTTTCAAGATCAGTTGGACTAGGCTGACTGCCTATCATCTCAATGCTTGCTTTGCGCGAATCGATTAGCCGTGATCCTGATCTCTGCTGCCTCTTATTGTTGACCCTCAGCTGGAGGTCAGCAGAAAAACTGACACTCTGGGTGAGGTTGCCGTTAAGGATTTCAATGAGTTCATTGATCGCGCCCAGAGATGGCACACTGCCTGGTTCCTGTCCCTCCTGTATTTCGTAATGGATCGCTGTCGCCAGCTGGAGGCACCGTTCAAGATTGGTACACAGCATTCGAACGGATACGTCGCAGTCTGAATATTTCGATTTGCTGTTCCCGTTTCGATACTGTGTGTTTAGCCGAGTGAACAGCGAACTCTGTTTGGCCTTCAGCTCAGTGTGCTCCCTGCACAGGAAGTCGTACTTATCGCCCTGAAGCGCTACGACAGTGTCCAAAGCCTTCTTGCACAGGAAAACCGACCTGAGGCTGAGATGGCAACGCTGTACGAGCGCAAGACAGAGGTTTCGTAGACACTCGGATCGATGCAAGTCATTAAGCGTTTTCAACGATAGTACAGCGCCATAGCTAAAATTATCCGTACTCTCTGCGAGTCCCTCCGACTGGAATAGCTTCGGACAGGCAGTCTTGCAGTCGTCCAGAGTGGCTGGCATGATCAATTCTAGGTCATCTTTTAAAAGCGCTGCTCGGGTTTCCCTTGATACCGCCTGCCAGAGAAGACATTCCGTTTGTAATGTTTCGAACACATTGCGGGCAAATAATTCCGAATCTTCTCGGGCCATCGTCTCGATGCCAATCAGAACTGCTGAGCTAGGTATGTGTACATTGCTGGAAGAGCATGCAGCCGATGGGCCAGTCTGAGTGCCCTGTGCGTGGAACGACTCATCATCTTTGATCTGCACAAGCGCCCATTTAAGTAACGAGCTCTGCATGGATTGTACGGCTGTCAGCTGTAAGATGCTCAGTTTGAGCATCGATACCGACAAGAACTTCGAAGCGGTCACACCCAATGCCGTCACCAAAGAGATCAGCCGAAGTTTTGAGTTTCGCCGAAGGCACAGAAGCACTCCGAATACCGCCAGTGTAGAGACCAGGCACCGTGCGCGATGCGTTTCGGGCCATTTGCGACGTTCGTCTAAACTCGCCAGATTCGTCTCGGAGTTAAGAACTGATTCAACGAAGGCGCGATCTTCGGGAAGCAGCAAACGACTTGTGAGTATTTGGCGTACGATCGAATCATAAATTTCGTATGGTTCGATGACCGATTTCTGCACATTGATCAACATCTGCACAACCTTGTCGGTGTACCATTGCGCCGTGTACCTAAGTGAGCCCCAGTAGGACAGCGGTTGCGGGGGCAGCGGCTCCTGAAGTGAACGTAGCAGCGCTTGACGAGTAGGATGCGGGGGATCCAAATCCTCCGTTTCGGACTCGAGCATCGCCATGATGTCCGGCGACTATACTCCTGAACCAAAGAAAGAACAACGCACTTATATTAGTATAGCTACGGTTCAACATAGTACATGTTGCAGGCTCATCGTTGACAGTTTTGAAAGCAATGTGGTACTATGAGATCTTATAAACGAAAAGCGTTGATATAGTCTTTTACTTATTTGAGTAAGTACAATCCATATTCCGTATGTCTGGCCGTTTACCAGTGAGGCAAAGTTCGAAATCGTATATTGTTTAGAATTAGCAATAGAGGGTTATTTAAGTTGAGACTGCCTAGGTTATTTAATTACTCAATAATTAAGTTTGACAGGTGTTTAGAAATACTTCTTTTAGCGCACTGAAAATTGTGTAAATACGTGTAGAACATACAGAGAATGTTGTTCTCTCGGTTATGCAATCATGTGCTTCTGTCAAGCCTTAAGCTTACAGGTTTGATATTACTAGTCATTTGCTGCGAGTAATAAAAATAATAAGCGAATTTAATCTGAAGCATTAGGAGGATGCGAATAGTTTGGTCAGATATTATTTTTCGATAACAGGACTACTTAAGATATGATCCAAGAAAATGCAAAAAAGTTCAGTTTTGTCTATATTAAAATATACTGAAACGTAAAAAATCTACTGACAACCAGCTTGTTATATCGTATTATATCTTATTTTTATATAAGTGCATATATACGTTATCTGTTATTCGTAGTGGAGTACATATAACGCTGAGCGATATCGTTAGCAGCATTTTTACTGTGGCTTCTGCGTACGCCTTTTACTATTTTAATACAAAAGTAATACGCATTGTATGTATTATTTCTGTTGCGTCACAGTCAGACTGGAGTTTCTATAGGAAACCTACGTTTAATCTGGCTTCGTGGGAAATTCTGTGCAAGAACCGTTCGAAAATGTCGTAAACTACTAAAACCTCTTTATGCGCCGTGCTGTTAAAGTGTATTTAATCTAAGGTCGCATTTTTACATACGAAAATAGTAGCATAACACAAAAGGCTGGTTTGCTCATCTAATTGATTTCGGTAAGTGTCACTACTTTTATAATCAATAAATTGACTCCACACTCTTTACTGCCGAATAAGAAACGTGATTGAACTAGCCTTCGAAAAGTTATATATAATGTTAAGTCCATTTATAGTTGATGGCACTTAATTTTCACCTTTTTTCATTATTTTTCCATTTTTGGCACGGCAAGTTAAAAGAATCCTGCCGATTTACAAAAGGTTGATTATATCCTTGTAAAGTGAGCTAAATAAGATGAAAAACACGGGTACTACGGCACTCAAGGTTGAGTTGCTGTATTAATATTCCTGTGCCCTACGAGCATATTAACAGACACTGAGCAGGTTGCTTATGCGGTACAAGTTCTCTAAGCATTTCACTAACGTTACAGTGTAACCCACTTTAGTCGCTACTAAATTCGATTCTTCGCGCATTGTTCACATTGCCTCCGTAAATCTATTTCCGTGTCTATACATTTATATCCGAACCATTTGCTACTGTGTTGAACTTACGCAAACAACAGTCGTGCATGCGGTGTAAATTTTACGTGTCTCGCACTCAAACAACAATTTCTAATTTGAGATTAACAGCTCGGTCTGGTTTTCAATGAGAACAGTCGTAGGTTGGAAAACCTTTTCTCGAGCAACGGGCACAACTGTACATAAGAATGAAAGTCGACGGGCGTCGACTAGTGATCGCTCTGGCACTACCCAGACCAAGGCTAAACATACTTTACCTCTGCTTACTCGCATTGGTTTACGCGTCTCGCTTTATGGTAAAAACAGACTACGCCGTCCCCTTTAGCTATTGTAACGGTCTTGGCGCTAACAAACATTGTGTACTTTCAACAAGTCCAGTTAGCGAATGTAGTGACTACACTGAAAAACACATACCTAAACGACGGAAGTAAACGGGTCTTCATCAAATCAATTCTGGCCGCTACGAGAGCAGTAGCATCGCCGTACACTTTCCAGTTTGCAACCTGCTCGCTTTCGCTAACGACTGAATGCTGTTATTATGTTTGTTGTTTTGCTTTGACAGTGGAGGTCGCCATGTTCGTCGAACTACAGATCCTCGTACCCCGTTGCATCCGGGAGTGGCACGCAAATGAGTAGATAAAGAAAGCTTTGTTATATAGACGAAATGCTTTTTTTAACTTAAATGTATTTGAGAAATAATTGGATGAGAACAGTGATAAAAGCGAACAGCTTCTTCTAGTTTAGATTGTTCATAAGGAACGACAGTACTAGAAGCACTCAGTACACTTCCGGGTATTGGAGCTTCTTGAGGGAGGGTTGCGCTGAGCGCGCTAGTATTTACATGGGACAACGTCATTCGGAAATCGAACACAGAGCAAATAAAAAACTTACGCTTTCAGAAAAACTTTTTCAATAAAGCTCCAATTTAACCTCGTGTCATTGACGAGACGGATACTGTTTTTGGGTGCAGTCACCAGCCACCCATAAGTGCAGCCCTAACAGCTTAATAGGTAAAGAAGAGCATATAAAAGGCACCCATTTTAAGCGAGCGACTGTTTGCGTGTGTTACTAAGGTAATAGAACGACGTATGGATGTAATAGACGATTTATTTATTCGCTATGCCCACCGCTTGTTCGGCCCATTGGAACGGAATGATAACAGTACTAATGTAATGTTCATGCAAAAGTGAAACATTGAGAGGGTATCTGTACAGATTTAGAAGCAGCAATTCGAAGATGTTTTCAATGAGGAGATCAACTTAAAGAAAGGTTTTAAATTTATGCTGACAAACTTGACAAAGATAGCTAGAATACTGCATACTGTTATTGTAGAATCGAATGCACTCTTGCATTGACACATTGACAGATTTCACTTTGGATTCGTGGTAAGACTAACGACACAATAATGAACGCAATACCGTGCGAACGTATTTCAATATGAAGACTGCACTAAATTAAACAAGTGACCCGTGTCCATGTTAGTGTCGATAAAATCATTAAATATGGTTTATTCTTTTGTGTAAGCGAAGGACAAACAGTCTCAGTGCAAACAGGTTCGGGTCATATGATTATTCACCCAGCGATATGATATTACTATTGTGTATGATGTAGAACCATTTCTCTGCAGTATACAAATATTGTGCATCATGGGAATTTAAAATGAAGTAAAAATATAAGGCGAGGAGGTATTTTTGCGTTGCTATTTATGATAAGCATTAGCAAACATTTCGTTATAGAAACATTAATAATTTCACGTTTAGATGTCGTAAAAGCAACGAAATATAAAATAAGGCGTCAAGATCATAGATCCAGATATAAACATTTCATTCTCATAAAATGCCGCCTAGGCACGAATGTCTTCAAATCGATGCGGCTTTTGGCCTTGTAAGTTCAAATAAAGTTTATTCATATTTTGAGTCTTGAAAGCTGTTTTCAAATTCATTATGTAACTCTTTTTCTGTTCGTGCCATTATTATTAATATTATTTATACAGGATGCAGGACAGGCGTGGCCTGTTGACCGGACTGCCTAAGCCGGTTCCGAGCGGCGAAAGACGCAGCGCCCGTGATAAAGGAGCTCGCTACTTACGTAGGCTTCTGCACTTTAAACAAATGGATTTCCAGTTCGCTATCTGGCAAATGGCTTACCTTTTTTACTCACCGCAGAAAGTTTATCGAAACTTTCAATATAGAAAGCGTAAGTAACAGTCGCAGCGGAGAGAGCAAAGAAATTAGCATAGGCGCAATAAATAATAACAAAAATAATACGTTAAAAGCCTCTGCTTCTTTTGACGATACAGGTATTTACTTATACTAGACGTTCTTTCCGGTGCTAATTTTCTATGGTGTCGAATAATGACTTGAACTATTTTTGCTTGTTCTTAGAAACGAAAGACCAATTTGCTCGGGACGATCCGGCATTCCTCGTTCTTCTTCTTGTGTGGATGATTATTTCATGTATGGCGTTTGTCGTTATGCTCCACATCCACTTTTGGGGATTTTTCAAGTTCCTTTTGTGGACGATTTTCATCGACTGCGTCGGAGTCGGCATTATTGTGGCTACCGTTGTTTGGGTAAGAATAGTTTAGTTATTGCAAATATTCTAGCCGCTTAAATTTTTTTTACACGTTACGTTCTAAACGTAGGTGTTATGGCATATCTCGTAGGCTCTGCAAATAGTCAGTCAATCAAATTTTTTCACTTTAATTTGGATAAACGTCCAAATTATTTTTTTCTGTGCGTCCCATAATAATAGAGTGATGCTATTAACTATATACTTTAGTTTCGTTTTCACACTTCCGTTTACAAAAATGACAGAACTAACCTACTTGCTAGCCCTATACCAGCCTTATATCATACATAAAAGATATCCCAACCTAATCGAAAACGGAGTGACATAATGATACAGGAAAAATAAATGTGTCTATTCTATTTAAGTTAGTGATTGTCAGTTGTCTATGTTTGTGATCTTTTCGCTGTTGTAGATGGTGTGCAATAAATACTTGATCAAGCCATCGTGCTGTTTTACTGAAGATGTCGAGTGGGGCTATTGCTTCGATGTTCACCTCAACGCGTTTTTTCCAGCCCTCATCATCCTCCATCTATTTCAGCTTTTCTTCTACCACAGTAAGGACTTATAAAATAAATGTTCAGACCCGGTACTGTTTTATATAAAGATTTCTTCAGACGGCTAGCCCACTCTAGAGAGAAATGGAGTGTGATTAGGTCTGGTTTCAAATCTGAAGCGCTACATATGTTCTTAAATTTAACAAGCAAACAGGTTACTGTTGTACCATCTTACAAACACTATATGTTGTCTATTCCCAGTTTCTCGGAACATTGTTTGCTAGGAATTTGTACATAGGTCTATAATCGAAATGGACCCTAGACGTTTCAATATGTATAACAGATACATAATTATGTCTGAGTATGCACCTAATATGATGCCTATAAGAGTTGTTTAATTCGAAGGAGCCGTACTAAGAAGAGTCTTTTACTTTGCCCTGCGTTCATTGTGATTGCTGTGATACCAGTATTGATCCGATATGACTGGTTCGTCGGACGATTATTCGGGGATACATTGTTCCTTATTGCGTGCGCCTATTACTGTTACATTACGTTCCTTGGGTATAGTGGTGAGTGTCTAAAGCTCTTCAAAGATCGTCAGTTGATCTTTAACCTTGTTACCCGTTCTAAATATATTTTTTAAGTTTATTTTATAATTTAGATTTGTTAGTGGACAATTCTTAACCGAATTACGTTCCGAATAACTGTGAACACTGTTACGAGCATCGACACTGTTCAAAACCTACGAGTTTCGTTTTGGCGTTCAGCGTTCTAATAAACTAGATATTTCACTAGCTTGTCATTTATTTGCTTAAGGATACGCCTACTCAGTTGGCACTTACTGTTGTAAAGTTACGTACCTAGTGCAGCTAATTTACGCTTGTTCATTATTTCTTATTTATTTCTTTCAGCTCTTCCGATCCTGAAGAGTACAAAGGTATTTCTGTATCCGATGGCACCCTTGTCGCTCTTCTATCTTATGTCGTTGGCTGCAGGATTCAACTTATGCAGGGTGCTCGTTGATTTTTATCACTATCGCGTTATGTAAATATGTAAATGACAGTGAAGGCCAATATGTGAAGTATTATTTTGAGAGCGGGGTCTGGATTGATTGCTTTTTAATGCAATCTATTGATGATTAAGCGTCCAGCCTTGATAGAAAAGCCCACTTCAATCTTTGTTCGTAAAGTTTTTGCAACGCTATTCAAATTTCCCCAGGCCAAAAATATAGCTTGAAAAATGATCATTCAAAGGAAACTTTTGTGAAGGCTTTTGCAATAACTTACCTCCAGGAAGTCTCAGTGCATTGATAAGTGTCGATAGGGCTGCCTGAGACATTTGATACAAGAAAATTAACGAACTTGAAACTTGATTCAGGTGATGTAAATAAATTATATATTAAATATGTCTGTTTGATATGTCGCTCTTTCATCTAACAAACGAGGTCGACAAAGGTTGTTACAGATGTTTAATATGTCGGTTGTTGCCTAACTAATGTATGGTGATATGTATATGGTACGACCTTGTGAGGTATAATCGTCAAAATGTAGAATTCTACAAGAAAGCATTGTAATACAGACCCATTGTAGAGGTTGTTGCCTTCTACGACGTATGTGTTTCTAAAAGGGTGCAAAACACATGTGAGTAACAGACCACCTTTCAAGGGGTAGAATGTTGTACATTAGCAAACGGGAGCTCGCGCTATTTTTTCGCCAATGTTGATCTGAAGAAATGATCTTTATAGAATATAAAAAAATCTGTCTCAAACTACATACTATTTTCTAAGAAAAATAAAACAATACTTACGCTGCGCGGAAGCTGAAATTGTTTAGTTCAACAACACTGGCGCAGACCTTGGATCATCTGCGAAGCACAGTAGGAATAGCGCGAATTCTTTCTTTACTAAAGGCATATGTAATGGTCGCCGTGACATGATAGTTTCACGCAGCCATGAAAACCTGCTCGCTCCTCATAACTTTACTCATAACGCTTTAACATACTTTTTTCTAAGATTTATTATGTTAAGCCAGTGCATACCAATTAGATACGGTCTAGATGAACAAAAACGATATGTAGAAAAGAATTTCTACCGAAACGCATAAGAAACAACTTTATGTTTACAATATAGTTTCATGTGTAGACCATATTGAAAATACTGCCAAATGAGAAAATTGCGGTTATGCTATGCTAAAAGCTCGACCATAAAAATAAATATCGGTTAAGGATTTTGGTTAGTTATCAATCATTTTTTCGCTCTGATTCTGGCCAACGACAACCTCTACTGCGGAGTATAGAGCCTTATAATATACAAATGAACACTCTCTTTGCTTTACAATTATTGACGGTTTCATATTATTTGCACATTTTTTAGTTTACATATTTACAAGCTTACAGTCTGCATAGGATCGAAACAAACGAGTGGGTTGCTGTATATATTTTCTCTCATAATTGGATTGCCTGAACCGATGATAGTTTTTTTTAAAATAATAACAGGCGCAAAACTCAGAAGTGTTCGACTCGTATGGGGTAATGTTTTCTTGGGGATAGATCGCTGCCTTGACTAATTATCCCGTCGGGAAAACGCCGCTTCAGATTTATTCAATAATTCACATATCATTTCTGTGAATAAAGAAGACTCTTATAGTCATTCCGTTAGCAGATGTCGTCAATTTACAGTAACGACTTGAGCACGACCTTTCCTTGGCGAATTCAGTGTTTCACGAGTCTCTTCTACGTGGATTGTGAAAATATCGAAACAACAGCGACATTGTCTTCTTTGGCAATCCACTGCCTTGCTGTGGGCTTTAGCCGCCAGATCAGGATCACCCCATGTTGGACCGAATATGTACCTGAAGTGAAAAAATTACGATGCTTTAATAAGTTGCATTTTGGCAGTAATATAAATTCTCTAACAAGGCAAAATCACATGTATATGTTCAAAAAATGGTTAACAGACAACTGCATAATTTGCCGATTTTTGGAAAAAAAACCGGCTCTCCTAGTCAAAAAAAAACTTCGCTTTTTTTCTTTTCATGCTTACAAGGAAGAGAATATATTTTCGGGTTTGTGGTTCTCAGTTGTCTTTCTCAATTCGTTGATTGCACATAGCGATATACTTGTATTGTTGGAATGTTTTCTTTATTGTTCTATAAGTCTGTTATAACGGTTTAATTTGTTCACAAAACTTTATCAGTATTTCACCTTTAGACTAAATAACGGGTAATTCACGTAAAACGATATCGCATTAGCTACGCTTCATAAGCTGGTTATGGCGGAGTTGAAACGCTACTTTTCGTGTTAGACGATTATCAAGCCATTTCTGGAGATAATTATTAAATGAGCCCATATTGCTTAGTTGGGAGTCCTCACTGTATTAAAATAACTTTGGTAGATTGGATCGAATTTGCCAAAGAGTTGGTGCTAAAAAATTTTTGCCCAAAATACCCTGGAAAAAAGTCAAAGTAGAATCCTGTAATTTATACCAAACGATTATAACAACATTTTAAAACAAACGATTTCCTTTTTTTCTAATTTAACCCTTAATTAGTAACAAATGAATAATGAGAAACAGCAGATTCAAACAATACACAAACTTTCGACCCAACCTAACTCACAACGTGTAGTGTGATTCTCAAGACGAACCTTATAGTATGTCACTCAATATAGTATTTTTAATTGTAGCCCTTACTTCCACTCTTTATTTCCATCGTCGTTGCTCCACATTATAGCGGATTCGGCTACCGTGGTAAATTTCGAATTGATAGCTACCCGGGGTACGCCCGCCATCTTAGCCAGAGTTCCTGTGACATGTACATCATCCACCCAGAAATAGGGCCGGTAACGCGATTCGACGTAGAGACGCCGGGCAATATTAGGAGTCATTAAATATGCCCAGCCTGAAAAACGATAAATACCTTGATAATTCATAGTTTGGCGCGTGCATTCTCAGTTGTTAGTATACTATTGTGTATTTGTAATACATGAGTAGACTAATATTGTGCTTAAATATTTGAAGAAACTCAGATTCGAAAATAGGTTGTAGCTTCTATTTAAAGCAAAAAAGTTAATTATGTACCATACACAAATTTCAACAGACATCCGCAATGGATTTCAAGGTTAGTGTCGTGACATACGTATACGTTTTGATACACCCTAACTAGCGCTATAATTTTAACAGAGTGATTCAACTATTATTGTACTTTTTCTGTAGCATGTTGCCATTTCGCTAGTGCCATGAGAACCACTCTCTCAATGTAGTGGTAAAATCATGATGCCACAACCAACCTTAGGAGAAGTTTCAATTTAAATGTGCTGAATTTGCAGCAGCTTTTAGTAAATAATTAACTCATCGATGAAACAACTGGCATCTATATAAAGATGTTCGGTGAGAGTATGAAATATGTCTATTTTCTGTACACCCTTCGGGCCCAAGAGATGCGTACCCACCAGAGCAATAATCCTCGTAGAACATCAACGGATACTCGGGTATTGTAACCCTCCATTTGCTGCCCTCGTCCCGGGTGACCGGCATCTGTTTTTGCACGTAGCATATAAGCTTCTCGCGGTTGTCTTCCTTGACCATTTTGTAGAGGTTGAATAGATGCACGAAAATGTCGTCGTCCATCTTTAGAAGCCAAGGAGCTCGAGGGCAGTTCTCCCAAGCCCATTTTAAGCCCATTACATGTTTGTACGTAAGATTTCGATATGCGTCGATAAAATTGCCTAAGTCATTTGAAATTACCACTATCATAAACACTTTGATAGAAAACTTGTATAAAATTAAGGAAACACGGCACAGGGAGCGACTGAATTAGTTGTAGCTGGCCTTGCTTCGCTCAAATTTAATATATTATTAGCTGTAGCTATCCACCATGTGTTGAACAGTAGTTAGAGACTAGTATACGGCAGAGTTACCCACAGCCTTTGCTCTATGCACCGGTACCGTGCTGAATTTTTCGTGCTAATATGAGTGTTGATTTTTTGTAGCTTACAGAAGGAAAATTAGTTTGCTTCCAACGAGACTGTTCTGCTGCACATTCAATGTATTCAGATGCGCATTGAATTTTATTACAGTTACTAGAAAGTTTTTCCCTATCTGTGGTATGAATATGATTAGAACTGCAAGAGTGAGTATATATCAAGGAATCGCTTCTATTGATCTCGACTTATTTTCTCTAAGAGTCAAGGACGTTGCAAACTAAAAGATTTTCCGGTAGTCATTAGGTTTTGGTCCTTCCTTATTGCTATTAAGAGTCAGCCATCTGAAGGACCGCCTAACGACATACTCAAACATGCAACTTTCATTTATTTACTATAGATACCGTAGATATTTGCATTCTCAAAATTAGCTAAACGAAATTGAATGAGAAGATAGCAATGTACCTTAACGTAATCTGTGATCGAAGAGAACCGACATAAATATATGTTTATAACCCAACATAGAATCTACTGAGAATAGCAAAAAGCTATATAACAGATCCTTTTCAGACGTGGTCTTCTTTGAGAGACCGATCTAGCAGGTTACGGGCCAAAAGGAAGCATAATTGCAATAATCGGCTAACCTTGAACAATATCCCGATATCGAAGGTGTTCTAGTTGGATTTTCCAATTTTGAGCTTCGTCCTCGACAGCGGCAAGCAGGAAAACAAGTTTGATCCAAAACTTCTTGAGGCGTTGAGATCCTTGGCCCCACGTCGAGCGAATTGAATCGCGTTGTGCATAGTGATTAGGCGCCGAATGCACTAAAACCACCAAAGATTCCTTTCCACTACAAGGTGTCGTATTTAGTACGTACCTGAAGCAAAAGTGTAACCAAAGTACATCGCACAGGTCCAAGTAGCTCCGTGAAGTAATAAATAGGGTACTTATAGAAAAATAAATGTGGATAATCAATATAGGGTATTTATAGAAAAATAAATGTGGATAATTAATATAGGGTATTTATAGAAAAATAAATGTGGATAATTAATATAGGGTATTTATAGAAAAATAAATGTGGATAATCAATAATAAGTTTAAGTTCAGTTTTTTCTTCATTAATTTTAATCCCTTTCCCATAAGCTTCCATACATACAAGCGAGTGAAGATACTGTGAGGATGCTTCGTAGTTTTTTGCGACTGCTGCCGATTAGCTTCGTAGGACCTCGTGCGCCAATAAGTCCCAGAAAAATACACAAGGCTATAAGCAACATTCAGACTTTTCGCTACCTTGTCAAAAACTAATTGTATCGTCGGTTTACTAATCATCCCGTATGCTTCAACTATTACTTACAGCTAGATTTAAAAGGTTACTGGTCCTCATACACACCTGTAAATCAAATTTACTCCCATTGCATTGCCCACCGTCGAGCACGAGAGTGTTGGCTTCGAGGTGCTTGGACCTTAAAAACTAATTGATTATTATAACGATAGAAACACATTGTCGCCAATCTCATACCGCTCAGTATAATATATGGTAATGGACTCGTTGGAGCAAAATCAGTACCAGAACTTAGGGAAGTCCACGAGATGATCATCAGTACGATTGAATTGAAGCCGGGGGCAGGGCCTAGCATTACGAACGCAGTTCTGTTGCTGAAGTAGACGTCTTTCCTTGTCTGAATAGTTCTCTATACGATACTGTTGTATTTTAACAGGCATTGGCACGGGAGGTTGACGAAAGTAGAGAATGCATAATCCGATCCACCAGAAGAAGAGAATTAGGTTGAACGTCAGACTGGGACAGTTCTCAATTCGTACAAAGGATATCATCTTCGTCTGCGCTTTTCATGGGGGTCTGAAGATACAGCAAAAGTAAGCTAGCAATAGTCATACGTTTCAGCCTGCGCAGGACATCAAAAACAATCCGCAGAAACATGCCGAGCTTTTCTATGGATATTTAGCTAGACTATTATAATCATTTACCATTTTATGATTACAGCAATTAAATAAATATATGGTTCAGTTTGCAGAGACAAGGACAAACTACAGACCGAACATTCATCAAGATACTATCCAAATGTAGATTTTAGCAAAGGATTTTTCATAACATGGAACTTTAAAATAAAATTGATACTTGCATACGAACAACCAATACATTATAGCGTCCTGGGAAGGGTACTGCTTTACAATACTAGGACGCCACGTAAAGATGTTTTCTGTGATTTCAAGAAGACTTATCAGTCTTATTTGATTTGAAAACTTTTGTGATTATACACAGTTGATTATATACATTTGGTGAACATGTTTGGAGCAGCAGTATGCACCATTGATTACAAGGATGATAATCATAACATCTACATGTTAATTGACGCCATTGCTGGACAATGGACACCTCCTTTAAGTTAAAAAAAAAGGAGCTTCTGGTCTACCCTTCACTAGGATACTTGCCATTTTTTCGGTCCATTTTAAAAGGACACACATTAATAACAAATAACGAACCAATCCTTTAACCATCTACCATTACATCATGTTAAGTATAAAAGGAACCTATATTTTCCCTAATTAGGTCACAAAAAATAGCCTTCATTCAGTACTTAGTCTTAATCTCCTGACTAAACTAAACATTGAATCCTGGAATATTTTAATAAATACGCACTAAATACGCGCATTTATACTCTAATCGTGTTGCAAATGCGTTTCCAAAGAAGTCTGGAAATATGGCCAGTACCGTTTGCATGCAGGAAACTGTTATTGCACGAGCCCCAGCACTGCCATGTCCTTTCCGTATAGCTGCACATAGATTCACGTATTTAGTTGCTTTGATGTAAAACACCGTCGCTAATCCAAAGGGTCGGCAACCGTCGCATCGTGCTGATTTGTTCCCGACAACCTCAAGTGGGATGACTTCGATGAGTGGACCTTGTTTAATTCCAGACCTATCACAAAAAAAAACTGGAGAATTGATAATAAGCTGTCTTTAGTCTCTGATTTCATCATGTCAATATCGTATGATGCAGTATTCTATGCGTGGCCTAAGACACTTAAAATCTAATGTCAAAGTTACCAGTTGAGGTGAATAGTTTTCGATCTGCGATGCTTATAAGCAAACTCTGCTAACAAATTGATATAAAACTGCCTAACCAATAAAATCTAAAGGTCTGCTCTCCATAGGAAAAGAACACATATGTAGTGCGCATAAGACGAAAGCTAAACAGAATTTCTAACGATGATTATCATATAAGAACGATTACTTTGATGGGGCTGTATTGCACGTTCAAGTAATCAGTAAATGGTATGTTCTTCCATGGCTAAGTCGTTCCTTTAAGGTTTAATAATCACATTAGGGCAAATCCGAACTTTACGCGAAAGTTCGGATTTGACACGAGAGTCGTGCAGAATTTTGATTTTAACGATTGTTTGAAACGTGGTAACCCGGTTTTCTTTCAAGATATAGCTAGTTCGACATTTATAAATGCATTTTGCTTTCTATGTTACACCTGCACTACCATTGGTGCTGACCAGACATGCATAACTAATGTTTTGCTATACCCGCTCCCGAAATAACCGAAGAAGTCAACTCATTCAGTTTTAGTTACATCACTGCGTTGTGCTTTAACTTTGCATAAATTTAGAGCTATAGCTTAAAAACAATATGTTGGGGGAAACAGTTTTTTGCCACTGTACTTTCGTTTCTGTTACGGGCATAATAGCAACAACAACTTTCTGAAACTTTCTACCACCTATATATATATATATATATATATATATATATATATATATACCGTAGTTGATGGTAGAAATGGAACAACACCGTTTGTATGGAATTCCGTAGCAGCAAAATAAACGATATAACGTTATATCATAATATGGATGATGTACACACCTAAAGTAATATTACATACGAACTGATGATCTAACCAACATAACTAATTAGCGCAGGTGTGCAAAAGGGAAGAAATTTAAAATCGATAACGTTAGATGTAATCTAACAAAATAAATACGGCCTCTCGTTGCACTTACCTCAGCTTATGTACGAATTATTCTAGCGACATTTTTTCTCGTCATACGCATCTTCCGACGCGCATTTTCTTAGATGTATAACATTCACTGTAAAAGACTCATGTACAGCAGTAGCAACAAATATCCAATGGTATTGTGGTACAACTGTGAAGTATCTATTGCATTGGCACTTCCACCACCTAGGTGTATTCTATTGTAAGTTAAACAGTCAAAGTGCTGGACTATCGATCTTCTTCTGCCGTATAAGGCCCACACGCGCATTGCTAAATACGGTCATACAGCGGGAAGAGGGCGCCACTATGCTGATAACTCGATGCTACAATTTGGGCTTATATATATTAGCATAGAATGCTTAGACACAGACAGTACACGTCCAATCTTGTCGTGTCGACCGCCGTGATCTCCGGGGATTCTCCCGCCTAATATACTCGCTTAGGCGCCCCTGCTGCAGGCTATGCAGTGCCGGTCTGAGTCACTTGGACCGTATCTGACCGTACTGAAAGCATTGTGTACTATGTGTGTGTGTGTGTAACCGTCAATCCACATGTAATATGTACATGCATCAATGAAGAAGATCGAAGGAGTATATCTTACAGTTGTTGTTGCGATAGTGGTCGAGGCAGTCGTTGACGATCGTGTGGGATGATTCGGTACGCTGACTGACGGCGCCAAGCTGCGCTAACTATTGCTGCTGGTAGCTGTTGCAGTCGGCGCATTGCCAGGAAAGGCCGGAATGCCGTTACTTCAGTACTAGTACCGATCGGTGCCGGAGCTGCCGCTGCCGTAGTTTGTTGCTTCATCAGCTAAGAGGCATAGAAAATAGAAGCTCGCGCGATCACCAGTCACTATGAGCCACTACTGAGTACAGTAGGTGTTGGTATGATGAGGGAAACGAAAGCTAGCGAGATGCCGCTTAACACAAACCGATCCTGCCAGCCAGCATAAAATCAATACGATGCGACACTGCACTAGAGTGCTATTGAATTTTTTAATTTCCTCTACTTACAGCGATTTAAGTGTTCCGATTTTTCCGTCTTACACCGCCCTTCCTTAAAGGCGAGACGAAATGTTTATGCTATCGAGCGTCGGGATAGATGTGCTATCTTCACTATTACCCTCACTACTACTTACTACAAGTAACAGAAGTTGACAAGTGAAATGGCTTACGGTCTTGGCGGGTGAAGGTGGATTGACAAGAGGACTTCAGGTGGCGACAGAAAAACGAAGAGCAAGAAGGAAACGTCAACGACGACAATAATGAAATAAAACGTAATATCACTGGCCAAGATATGCGTCAATGCATAACAGTCGATTGGACTATGCAATGGACACCAGTTAGAGCTATAAATATATTTGAAATTAGCAGTGTCTCATGGAGGAAGCGAACGATTACTAGATAAAAACCGCGCTACGTTTCCATATAGAGATACAAAGATGGCGTTGTTCCCAAACACATTTTAGGTAGAGTTCGATTGCTAATGTTGTAATGACTTGGGCGCTATGCATCTAACACTTTAAAAATGAATGTATTTTTTAGGTGAAGCGACAAAAAGAGTAATTTTTAAGGCAATTTGTCTACAACAATTCCGTTGTTATAGCACTATCATGATAGGTCGACCTATTCTGATTTATTCAATTAATATTGTCAGTTAACTTTACATTTAATTAGAGCGAAATTGACTAATAATATGATCTGCTACGTATTTTCGTTCTATTATTGATAAAGGGACGTGTCAAACTGCGCCTTCATATCCGGTTAAAAGCTACACATCGATTATTTCTTATTTGAGACAGCGATAAGCTAACCCAAATGGCCACGACCATTACAATTCTACGGAAAATGCATACATACTGCTGTAAAATCATGAAGATATTTGAAGAACCGAACCATGAAGAACCGAAAGACTACATGAGACCTTCAGTCGAGCAACGAGTTAAGATTCGTTGTCCACTGCGGTGATCTCATCCGATGATTGACACACGGATCGACCAAAATGGTGACAAAATAAGTTGTCACTTCGGCGGAATCCATCTGAATAACAGATGCTAGCCACGTGTTTTAGCAATTAAGAGATCCGATACCACGTTTGTATGCTCATCATTGTCTACGCAGTGATCGTTAGAAATTCGAAACTAGAATCAAAACGATGATCAGTATAATCCCATGGTAGTCACGGTGCTGCTAATTATCGGGATGGCTGAAACGCGTACATGTGTTGAAGAGATTTTCTGTTTCACGGCTACTTATGAGAATAACTACCTACGTTGATGATGAACATGACGAGAAGAAGAGTCTGACGATCATATCATTACCTGAACTGTCTTCTAAAGATCCGTTTGTAATGTGATATGTAGTAGGTGTATTAGAAGCCAAATCCAACTGAATGTTTATCTATTAATTGATATAAATTGATTATTAATCAGCGAGCTAATATAACTACAGGATACCCTACTTCAGATGTGCTAGTCCAAGGACAAACAGACAACCCTCATTTTTTTGGTGTATCAGCTCAAATAAAGACATTTATTCTAATATAATTTAGAAACACAATATCATGATAAGCCTTGCTTTCGAGGCGTTCTTGTCGCCTGCGATTGGTTCGCTTCGTCACTCATCACCTTCGCACCTCACCCTCGCATCATCAGTTATCTCAGTTCATCATCCTAGCATCACCGCATCTCTCAGTTCTCAATTCTCAGTTCGCAGTCCGCAGCTCCTGCGAGGTCCGCGTTTTAACCTTTTCGACTTTACCTTCTTCGCCGGCTTCTTCGTCTTTTTGTTTTTATCTTCGCAATTATTTAATATTATCATAATCAGTATACCATATTGGCGCTTTCTCTCGCGCCTTTTCTAGGACAGTCTGCAAGTTTCGTCTGCTTTTTCCCTGCCTCCGTTCTTTTTCTTTACCTTCCTTTTTGTATTTTGTCGTCCAATAACCCGCCCCGATCCTCCCGCTTGATACTGACATAGGATTCGACGACATTCTCCAGTGCGTCATTGCAAACATTTATTGTCAGTCATCGACCAACCGCTGCCATAACGTAGATCTTCGTATTTCTCCCCCTAACTCTTTCTTCGTTCTTTCTCACAAAGAATAAAAACAAGTGGGTATAATCACCAGTAGCACAATCCTACTAGTGTCACCCATTGTTGTAATAGTTTCCACCTGACTTCGACCTCAGTAGGCCTTCGTTTTTCTCCCTCTGTCGTTTGTCGTTTCTGTCAGCACGGCCGTTTGTTGTCTCACAATGTCATCCACCATCCTGTCGACAGACTTTTCTGCCATCAGCCAGTGTCATACAACTGAATAATGACATTTCCTATTTGTTCCTCCTTTTTTCATCTGATTTATTATTCATTCCCTATTTTATATTCTCACGCCCTTCCTAAACTCTTCTTGATTCTTCCACAGCTGACCGACGCGTAAGTCTCTGTTATGAACTTTAGATGCAGTTGTTGCCTCGCGTCAATATCGGCGTGTATGCGTATGTCTGTGGACGTTTGTCACTTTCTTTCATTTATATATATATGAAGTTTTTATCGCCAGTTCTCGTCGCTGTTGACATCGTACCACTATTTTGTAATCTCACTTTTATTACGACTTAATGATTTGACCCTATGTCAACCTCATACCCCGTATTTAACGCACATCGTCTCATCCCATGTCGACATGTTTAATATGCTCTTCGTCTCTTTTCACATCACTTCAAAGGCCACCACACTCATATTATTAATCATTATAAACCGAGTTAATTATTCTTCGCCCATATTTAAACCAGCCGACTCGCCGGTTTACTCGCTCGCTTGCTTCCTGTTCCTGTGAGCCGTCCTTCTCAAGGTCACCAGTAACACATAAAAGAAGCTTGCTCGCTGGCTTCAACTGGAAGAACAGCTTACTAATTGCACACTCGTCTCGGTGTCAAGAGTACGTCTTTGTGAATGTGTGCTTTAGTTGATGCGGAAGATCAATCGCCAACATCTTGTTCCTGTCCTGTGCTTTCGTTAACATTAATGGTGGATCGTCTGGCTCGGCTTTTTTGGTCCCCCCCCCCCCCCCACTCACGAGCGGCATCGGTTAAATTCACCTGCAACGAGATACACGAGATAACATAACTCTACGGGCCGTAAAGATGATTGTGCAGAGAATCAGAGGGGCACCCATAAGACGGGTGGGCGGCTGTAAGTTGTTAGTGGCCATTGTCAGAGTGGGAAAAAGAAAATTGTTGAATCGTTGCTGTTTTACCTTGTTGTGCGTGTATGTTCCTTTAATTGTTGCTGTAGTAGTAGTTGTTCTTGTTTGTTGTTGTTGTTGTTGTTGTTATGACAGTTCTTGTCGTCGTCGTCATCGTCGTCGCTATCTTTGTAATGGTATATTGGTCGTTTCTCAGTTGTGACAGGGATAAAAAAGCACATAGAGATCCGCTCTTTTTTATATTTCTCTGCGAATCTGCTCCTATCAATCTGCTCCGTCGGTATTCGATTCAGGTTTTTAGTCATAATAAAATCTTGACATAGTACTTTACGAAATTTGTAAGTGTTGCTTGTTTCGTCAGTACGTTAGATAATAGTAATCAACTCTCTACAGAAATATTTTTTGTTTTAATTTTGATCGGGTAGCGTTAAATTGTGCTCGAATTTTACTTAGTATTCAGCCTAAGCTGCTCGGCAATTTCGGCATTACCTCGACAAACTCGAAATTATGCACTGACATCCGTCTAGCCTGGTTGATGCTATAATTTGATTTGCTCCTTGGTAACCGCTAAGGCGCACATCAGTGTCACTGTACTGTTCTCTGCTTTTTTAATTCCATATGTTATTGTTATCGACCCAAACTAACATTTTTATTCATAGTTATAAGATCATGCTTGGTCATCTTTACCGCGCAAAATGTAGCAGCAGTGCCATTTTCATTTCCGCTCTGTATCCACGTGTGCCTGTCAATGTGTTTGTGTGCTAGTACGTGTGGTCTTGTGCTGTTTACAGCCACTGATATCATGTACAGTATAATGACGAATACAAAGTGACAAAACAACAGCAAACGCGTGCGTGCAATTTCTCGCCGTTGCCACTCTTCCTCCGATTTTCGTTTTGCCCGTCCCTCTTCGCCCCGAATTTTTGAGAAGACGATTGCTCAACCTGGCGCTGCAACTGCGATACCAACCACAAGCCATATCGTTATAGAAATGTACCTTCTATTAGTTTCTATGACTCTTCAACCCCCATCTTTCGCTCTCTCTCTGTATCTTCAGATCAAACAACTACCCGTTTTCTCACCAACGTTCTAACACTTACATTTCATGTGCTTCTCTTTCTTTACCTTTCCGCATGCGCGCCACACACAACGTTCCTTGCTCGTTCTTCGCTCTGTCCCTGTTTGTTTGCACATTTTCAAACTTCTATTCTTTCACACGCACAAACACACATACACACACACATACACTCACATTCGTTCTGGTTTCCTTTTACTCCTTTTCTTTGTATTCCACTCCCTCTGGTGCTCATCCTAACGCTCCCTTGGTTCAAGGTACGCGCAAGCTCGATCCCTCCGTTTCCTTCGGCTTTCGCCCGCAATATCTTGTCTTCGACGATCGTGCCATTTCTTTTATTGTCCCCAGTGGAAATGATTCTCATCAATTGGATTTTATTTACCTCTAGATTTCACACTTTGTCCTTAATCTTCGTCAATTTTTATTTGCTGGAACGTGAAGGCTATCTCCGTCATGTTGACTGGCCAGTCGCTTTCGCTGTCTTTCTTGGGTGGTGGCCTAGTTCCTCCCTAATTCCGAATCCCCTCGTCCTGTTTTCCCTTACATAGAATTGCTACAACACACTACTATTGTCCCGTCATACCAATCACACATTTCTGTATGCTTGTTTGTTTTAACGCGCATCACACACATAGACACACGTAGTGAACGTTTACGATATTTATATTGTGTGTATCCCTGTGTGTCTTTGTGTGTGTCATTAAACTAAACAATAATTATATAATATATTCACTCATCGCTGTACCGTAATCGTTTTTATCTTCATCCATCTAATAATATTTACCTATTATTTTTTCTTTCCTATACTACCATATATTACACGCTGGTATCCACAGGACATATTCGGCTGGACATAGGCCACGATACGGTGAGGCCGGCCGGCACGAGCGTTCTGATCATGTTGCTTTGCGAATTAATTACATTATCAGTAGCAAGGAAAGTGTCCGTATCGGAAAATCGTGTTGATCCTTGTGCCTGTTATATCTTAGTATAGCATTAATGTCATGTCTATCTTCGTCAAAGGAATCGAAATTGAAGCTGTACCATTTTGTATCTTTTGGCAATCGCAGGTCCGGCGACTGTTGGGGGACGCGGCGTAAATCGGAATGGAGCCGCAGTGACAAAAATGTGATATCATCATCTGTAAACCGATTGTTACAGTAACAACAACGATCTTGGGTGCATTGCGCGACACGCGTCAACTTCATCGCCGTTAAGTTCTCTCACACACAGACAGATACACACTCACGATTCCGCTGGTAAAATTTAGGAAAAAACAATTATTTTAATTGTTTTTATTGTTGTTACTATTTCATTTCGGTATCCTCTGCAAATGGCTACTACAGATTGATCGGAACGCAGCACCTGCACTGCACTCGTTTGATCCGGCTAGACTATCTAGGGTATTCGTCTTCTTTCAATTATTACCAATGTTATTACTGTTGTCGTTATATTCTGTGTTACGCCTCTCCGCCCATTTCAACCGAGAGCTTTAGATATTGGCTACGGGAACTAATGTGTGAGCTGCTAGGACAGGTTCTACAGAAAGGTCAGGTGGGCCTTATAAGACCTATGTTATGTACACGTGTTAGATAAGTATAACTTACGCTCTTCATCTCGCTTGCGTTCTTTTTCTATTTTTTTTTATATATCGCTTATTCCTCTGCCTATTCTGCTATTCATCGTAAACTTCACAGACTCGCACTTTTTGCCCACCCGGAGTTAATTAATAATGTCCTTTTACTACTAACAGCTTATGAAGGTCAATACATTTTCGTTGCTATCTAAGTTTTAAACATCCCACTACTATTACGCCTCGTGTCATAATTGTTTTTATGTTTCATTTCCATCGATCTCAATTTACAATCGTGAAGCTAACCATCGGCCTGTTATATATGTGAAGAGCTAACATGAATAATAGTTGACACAACTTTAGGCCCTCGAATATTGCCCTCATTTTCGTGGCTCGGCTGTTTCACCAAAGACTTTATACCTAATTTTCTGGTTATTTTTTGCTTTTACAGAAATCAATGTATTGTTTTACGCGTGTTTTATTTACTCTTATTTTTTTTGCTACTAATGGCAAGTAAATTTTCAGACCTAACTTTTCCTTTGCTCTATATATATATATATATATATATATATATATATATATATATACACACAAACTAATCTTATTACATTTCTTGATGGCCGTCTCTATAGTTCCTATTCACCTATTATCTCAACATCTAGCAAACACACTAGCGCTGTTCATTAATTCATGATCATCAATTTAATTTTTTTCTTGTTGATCTATGCTAATTAATGTTGCCTTTCTCGTTACTATTGCTTGTGACTTTAACCAAAGCGCGTTCAATCCGTGTTCACTATCATTATTAATATTATTGTTAGGAATATAATTCTATTTCACATGACAAACGTCACGACGACGTCGCTTTAGTCTTAGCTTTAACACATGACAATTTTTTGTTTTCGGCTGTTGTTGCTTTCACATCAATATAATAATAGTATCGTTCTATCTTCCTTATTCCATTTGTCAACTCAATGCGGTCACGTTCCCTCCCTTGCTTACTCGCTGTTCTTTTTGTACGCGTTACGTACATTATATATATATATATATATATATATATATACACCTGTGTTTTCTGTAGGGTCAGCAGTACCAGGCTATTTTTTCCCGTTTTTCGTTCGTCGTTTACTTTCTTCAATATAGATTATAATAATTATTATTTTCTTTGTCGTTCTGATACATATATTGTCCCAGCCTAGCAAACTATCGCCAACTCCATTTATTCCTTCCCTATCTACTACTTCCGTATCGCAGTCGAAGGCATCTCATTTTTCTGCTCCCTTTTCTGTGTCTGTTTTTGAACAATTTTTTCCAATTCTTCCGTTTTCCTTCGCGTCGTTACAATCGCTCGTCCATAATCCATCCACCAATGGGTGTATTACACACCATCTCATTTTTTCGGTTATTAACAAGGCAAACAAAATCTTACCATTAATAACCCGGCAGTACCGGGGATGGCCGGTTCGTTTCCTCCAGCCAGCGACACACGAAAAGTCTTTCTATTTCTCCTGTCCTTTCGCCTTTTCGTTCATCTTACTCATTCAGCTCATCACATGACCAACTTAACCTATTCCACAGTACATCTATTTCAGCTTCATTTAGGTCGTCCTCGCTGCAACAAGATTTAAATTTACTCCCCCCCATCCCGCGCGTTCTTCCCCATGTACTTCTCAACTCACACGAGCTCTCGCTTCTCGTTTTGTGGTCAATGTCCGTTGTGTCTTTGTGTATGAGTCTGTCTTCGTGTTCGATTGTGTTTGTCCATTTGTTCATCCACACATTCACGCCATTGTATCATCAGCATCATCATCATCATCACCATTTTCATTATCGCATCATCTTCACCTTTTCGTTATCGTTAGAATCTTCGTCATTATCATATTCTATTTTTCATCCCAATATCGTCCCATCGCAAATAAACCACTACGCATGCCGCCATGCCCCGCTATTACATCATCACCATAATTACCATTATTATGATTAATCAAGTCACCACCGTATCGCCATGAGCTTGTCAGTTCATGTCAATCACGGTCAGCCTCCGCTGGTGATGACCAGATATCAATATGGATATCATTGAAGGCCTCCAAGTTAGTATTTGTCGCATTAGTTACTCAGTTATTCGTTTTGTATTTATTCTTTGTATCATCAGCTATTCGTCTGCTGTTGCTTCTTTCATTATTGTTTACTTGCTTGCTTGTTTGTTTATTATTCTTTATACACAGAGAAAACAGGCAACCACGTCATTAGCAGCAGTGCCGTCATCGACAAACTCCGATAACCTCGGGATGATGACGGACGACGATAAAAATCGATGATTTCAGCGGGCGAGTGGCTTGGCTCAGAGCCAACGTGCGAGCGGGGTCCCGGGGGGAGTCTGTTCATGCTTCATCCGCATTACCATTTAAATTCATCGATAATTCTTACTCGAATAGTGACTTCTTATACTCAAGATGTAGCTCAACACCATCCTAATCATTGGCGCTGGCCTGCCGTTGTGTGGGAGCCTTGGCTGCCGCTGTTGCCGGTGCTTGCGGAGCAGACGACGACGCCTGAGGACCTGGCGGCGTATCAGCGGATGGGGACCCCCCGGCACTACCTGCCGCTCCCGCGTGCGTTGGCAATAGAATCGAGTTGAGCTGAGGTTGAATTTGAAGCTCTGTAAGAAGAAATTAATACAACCGAAATAAGGAATGTTGCACTATTCTGTTTATGGCAAACATGCTAACATATAAACATGTCAGCGATATTAGGCTGAATAGCAACCTCGGAAATTGGATGTTACTGGAAACTGGATTTACTAAAGGGCTGAAACCAGACATGGATATTCTTTAATGCACCACGACTTCGTTACATACATAAAATATAATTTTTTACCGATTTTATTGAGTACCTGTTCATAAAGTCTACAGCTACACATCAGACAAAAGGACCACTGTGTCAAAAAGCAATAGACATCACATTCTCACGCAGCATAAAGTGATGTGTAAAATAAATGTGTCATAGTAATACATAGATTAAGAAAATATTCAAAAACTAATAATCGAATATTTATTTCTTTAAGAGATTCCATGCTTACTCTCTTTGCTACACGTACCATGAACCGTGAAGTTGAACAGGGGTGGCAGATCCCGATGATTAGGTAACTTTACGCCAGGCTGGCGGAGCTCGTCGAAAAAACGATGGGCGCATGCCTCTAACGGCGTTACCCGAGCAGACGGCGTGTACTCTAACAGGCGAGATACAAGCTCGATTGCATCAGGAGGCGTACGTGAGCGGAACACCTGAAACACCGTGAATACAAAACGTTAAAAGTCGATGTTTACTTCCAGGATATACTTGGACAAAACAAGCAGATCTCATACGAGACGCCTATGATCGTGTGGCGTTGTATATATGATGATGAAATGACACGTTGGCAGAGAATAATACTGTATTCGTTTACCTTTGCCCACGGATGTGCCTTAATTTGGGGAAACTTGAACTCGGTGTAGTTCTTATTCATTTCACGGATCTGCTCCTTACTTGGAGTTCCTAAAACCTTGATGATCTCCACGAGCTGATCTACACCCGAATCTCCCGGAAATATAGGTTGGCCAAGAAGGAGTTCTGCTAGAACACAACCTGCTGACCAGACATCTGCAAAGACATACGTCGTTGGCGTTTATTCGAATGATAGAAGAGATTTCTACACTCTATTTTGATACACATGTTTAATAAAAAAGAACATTCAATGTACAGGAGTCTGTTGTCCGTCACCGCCTTTAGGCATTCCATCAGACGGCTGACCTCCTGTACAAAATGAAGTTTTTCTACGCCCGGATTCGAGCCTAAATCACTACGTATGTCTAAAGATCGAAGGCGAACGCGTTACTCAATGAACTTTGACAGGAAAATGCAAAAGAATGCAATAGATATTGTAACAAAAACTAAGAACAACACCTCATCTACCATTGATCGAACGGTATCGCACCACACTTTTCACTAGGTTTCCTTGTAATAGCCTGAGTCTAAAGATCGACCTTATTCTAGTAATTATTTAATTTTTTATCTTTATTTTATCTTTAATATTTTTAATAATCATCTTTAATCATACTAATTAAAGTAAAAGGTATTTTCTTATTTTACCGATCATGGTGGTGTAGTCCGTTGCGCCAAAAATCAGCTCCGGCGCGCGGTAGTAACGAGAACAGATATAGCTAACATTGGGCTCTCCCTTAACGAGGTGTTTCGCTGAGCCAAAATCGCACAATTTGAGAACGCCGCTTTCCGGATCTAGCAGCAAGTTCTGCGGCTTGATGTCGCGATGGCAAATGCCTTGCGAGTGGATATAGGCGAGACTACGGAACAGCTGATACATGTATAAACGAATGTATGCTATCGGCATCGTCTGCTTCGATTTCGAGTACTGTCTTGCCACTCTATACACCGTTTCGGGGATGAACTCAAGAACAAGATTGAGGTATAACTCATCCTTGCGATCGCCGGCAGAAAAGAAGTAATACTTGAGCCGCACAATATTGCAGTGGTCGAGCTTGCGCATAATTTGTAGCTCTCGGTTTTTAAACCGCTTATCTTGCAACACCTGTAATTAACAACAGCAAAAACATTAATAAAGGAGGCAGACAGATCTGCCATTTGGGTTGCGAATATTGAAACAATGAAGTTAGATGGCAAAATGGTAATGGCAAAAATAGAAGCGTAAATATTACCACAATTGAAGAATGTCCGTTCTTGATGTGCTTTAGAGCGGACAGGTTGCAATGCTCCACAAACCGACACACTTCTACATGTATTAGTATAGTGCGGGTCAAAATTCTTAAGCATATCTGCCACGACAACTTCAGTATGCGCTAAGACAAAATTAGCTAATTGGATTATATGATAACACAGACAAACAGTGATGCAGCCAATAGGTAGAGCCAGAAAAATTGTGCTTCATAATGAAGGTTTTTCCAGCGTGAAGAAACCACAAACATATTCTGAACTAATAAAACTCTACATCTGTTCGATGTACATGCTACACCAAAATTGCTGCATATAGCTGCGCCATCGGTGGACTCACCTTCTTGATAGCAACAAGTTCTCCCGTGTCAACCATACGAGCTTGGTACACAACTCCGAAAGATCCATTTCCGATGACCTTTGTGTCTGTATATGTGACATCCACGGACCGATCCTCTGATGCGCGAAAAGCCTGGACAGACGTGAACTTCCCGTCCTTCGCTAAAAACCAAATAAAAGAAAATCTTGACAAAATGGTATTGCCCGGTGACCCTAAACATCTTAAAATCAATCGTAATCTCGTACGTGAAATAAAGTACATTACAAAAATCACAGCAGATTGTCTAAACAGACCGGGTTTTCATCCTCTTTCTCATAATGTTATACGGAGCCACTCTAAGGATGCTCTCCAAGCATGATATACCAAAGTGTCCTCAGCGGGATTTCGCGATTTTGGTATATGACTGGCAAAGGTTTGTGAAGAGCCACTAGCACACGTGAGATTCAAGGTTAACGTTGTTGTTGAAATAAAAAATCTAAAATCATCATCACGATGGTATATGTGGGGCCGCTTGTGATTAACAGCGCTCAAAAAATTTGGAGCAGGCGCCGACGACGGTGATTGCACCCTTGGTGACACGAAGAGCGACATTACTGAGGTTGCAACCTTACGCTAATCACAGCACGAGTACGTCCTCCGACGACCGAAACAAAAGCTTGACCGTTCTTTATTGCTTGATGGAATCATTCTCAGCTAACGCAACCATCAAAATATCATGATACGCCCACAACAAGACCCAATGCCACATAGGATTATATAACGGTTGTGACTAACGAGCGAGCAGAGTCTGCCAAATAATAAGGCCTGTTTGCCGCCCATATCCTCCGTGTTCTGTCTGATCTATTGAATTGTGCAGAGTTTAACGGCCGGAAAACTAACCGGGTCACACTTAATTAGAACAGGGTTGCCTCGAAGCATATATGGCTGTAGCAACAGCAGAGATCGACAGAAAAAGGTTGTGCCGGACAAGGATCAAGCAAGAGCAATGATCACATTATAATAATAATTGTTATTTTTTTAAGAATAATAACTACATTAGGCAAATGTGAAGTGTCTCTAAACAAAATGTGTATCTGTCAGTGTGAGTACGTGTGAACATAGTGTGCAATAGCTAATAATTTAAATGAACTGATCGCTGGCCTTGCAGCAAGTGCTGTTGAAGAAAGAGTGATTGCGTCCACGTGTAACACCAGCAACACTATATATACCATATTTGATTTGGGCAATCAAATAATCCCACACTCTGGTCAATTGTTACGCGTTAGCTCAAAACTTAGTGAATCCTAATTTCGAACAGATTCATTGAAATTCACTGAAATTTCAAATGGGCCGTGTGTTTTACTTATTTGCACCGCTTTATTATATAATCTTGCAAATAATAATTATGCTAGCGTTCATATGTATTTAACCTTTAGGATCCAATGAACTTGCTCAGCTGCTAACCGTTTTGCTGTGTGCTTGCTCGCAGATGCTCTACTCATGTGACTACTATTTATTTAGGATTAGCTATCATTGATAATGAATACTATTATTGTTATTATATAATCTTATTATCTTATGTTATTATATAATTATAACTAGCGCGAACGTCCTCAAATTCGTTTCGTCATAAGAGAATTTTTCTAGCTTCATTTAAAACTGATACCGAGAGACGATGCACATTAAGAATAAGAATATGAAAGCTGAATACACCCACTTTTGGTTATTATAACAAAATAGCATAGACGATTGTGACATGCTACAAATAATATTCACTTGTACGTCATGATAGGGCGCTGCCTTTCTGTCTATTCATTTGATTATAATAATGAGCAAGCCGCAGCTACTATGAACATTTACTAAGCCGACATAAGTGAACCGGTATACCTGTTGGAACGCTCACAACTGGTAAACCACGCTAACTGATTAACAGAATTTCTCACATTTGATCATCAAGTAGCTTCTTCTCCGTTTAGTCAGTGAATACTTGATGTCGGTAAATAACACCACATTACTTAGCTGAGGTTTGCTTATTTGTCAGTAAAATCTGATAGTCAATTGTAACATTCTTCGAGGCCCTTTATGTCTCATAACTATTACCACATATACCTTGGACTATTCTGCCTAAACAGGCCTATTTATTTAGGTCGACTTCATTGAAAATGCCCTGTACTTCCGACTATAATCGAACCGCACTTGCTTATGTATTTACCTTCTTTATCATTAAGCATGATCATGGTTATTATGACTGTGGGAATACAACAATCGACCTGACAGTTAACGCTTATCAATGGCGCGTCGTTCTGAATTCGATACACGAGCTACGAAAAACAAATGGGCCGTATCGTATAGGGCCGCGCTATGCCGTAAAGCGCAATAACTTGCCAGAGCTTCAAGAGGTTCTGGTAATCTTTTTCTCAGTTACTTTGTCTTCTTTCTTATTTATCATTTCTACGACACCCGCACGCACTCGAATTAATACACTTCCAAACGCATGTATAAACTACTAATGCGGCCAACGCGACTAGCTAGAAGAACAGGCAAGCCACAAACGACAGCAACCTGTAACTGCATTAGCTGAGCGCGCAAATTTGAAAACAGTCACTGTAAGGGTAGCGGTACTTGTTGTTCCGTTTTCTGAGCTATAATATATACTTTTGCTAAACCAATATTTTCAATTTTGTCTGGTGCTGCTTTAAGCATTGGTTCAGTCGGCTAGTTTGCATCACGAAATGTGTCCACACCCAGTTTTGAACCTGCTACGTTTTCCTGAGTTTAATAGGTAAACGCTTTACCAGTACGTCTACATTGGGATAGTAAATATTAGCTGATCCGAATCAGCATTTTCGAACGGACTATGCAGACAAGCAAAGCACAGCGTCACCGTTTCGGTGCACGTATATACAGCTTTACAGAATTTCTCTCGGTGCCATCGGGTGTTAATTACTTTCCGTTGTCGTTTCTCAATCGAGACACCAGAAAGCGAGTTTCGTGACAAGCTTTTGTATAATAGAACACTGAGTTCAAAGGCAGATCACAGTGGTTCGCTTAGTCACCACGATGTATCGTACGAAAATACATTGAATTCATCCAGGCTTACTCGGCCGTTATCGCTTTTACCTCTATTCGAAACAGCATTAAAGGGTACAAACGGCAGAAACCCAACTTTTTTTTTTATCAGTATAGGTTTTTTGCCAATCAAATGAATCCTATCAGACTATCACCGGTAAGATATGCTACTAAGGTAAAGCCTGCTGACAGCGTCTGACTATTTTGACGTCCTTTGTTCCGGATAACAGATCAAACGCCGAATGAAAAGCTCGACCGTTTATATATATACATATATATATAGATCCTATATAGCAGAAAAAACCAGTCCATCGATTTCTTTAGGTCAACAATCACATACTGTGCCGCGGTGCTGAAACAGGATGTTGCGTAATTTAATATTCATAGTACGTAAAAGGTACTATATTCTATTTTCAGTGCACTTAGTAGTATTCATTTAATTCGTCTAAGATGTGGTTAAATATTCAAACTATGATTATGTCTAAGGAGTGTTTTCAACAGCATAGGGAAAATGACACCCTAGGACAACTACTACCAATTTTTGTCGTTCATACAAAGAAATTGTTCTAAATGATACATTATTCAGAGCATATGCCAGAAACACATAACTACGAAAGTGTTTCTTTGCGCTAAACGAAATCATTGCAAGCCGACGAAAACCAAAAGGTCTAATGATAAAGAGGAGCAAACAGGTATACACAACCAACCCTCAGCGATCTTACTTGCAACAACGTAGTGCTCAAGTTTGTAACGTATATAAGGCGAGTAACCTAAAAATATCTAACGTAACAACATAGCCGGGATAGCTGAGCAAGTCGTGACAGACCACCGCGCTAATCGCTCGGTTGGTTAGCCCCGTCAGGCGGCCCCTACTAACCTCTACAATGGCAAGTGCAAGATTTATCAGCTGCTTTAACCCTTTTCAGATGCGTCCAAGCCCACGCTTTCATGAAAACTACCCATATATGGTGCAGCACAGAAAATAATTACAAAAAGTCGATATGAATACAAAAATATAAAGGAACGGTAACCCCTTTCGTTTAGCTGCCGACTCTATGTTCGTTATGACAACACAATCGATGCACAGTCTAAGCTGTATAGTAACTAATGACGGACATATCGAAAGAATACAAAGTCTGAGATGGTAAAAATAATTATAGAAAATTTCGCAGTGGGAAACTGTTACCGCAATTGTTTATGACTGTTGATGGCACGGGCTCGTTTGTCGTTGTGTTCACTGGTGGGATTGATAATACTGAAGAAGCCGGTACCCCAAATACTGGTCGTAATCCATGTCCTAATGAGTCAATGACGTGATGTTGAGCTATGGCATTTGTGAATAACAATGGGCGTTTCGGCACTGTCACAAGAGAAGTGCTAGGCTCTGGCTTTGATTTTCTCATCGTAGTACGACAACGACGGTTTGTAAGCTAATTGCATTGGCTGACGCCAGAATTGCTACTATTCCAACGAATTACATCACGAACTTAAAAAACACAAAACTGACATCTACTTATCTAAGATTTTTTTCACAGTTGTCGTTTGAATAAAAATAATAATGCAAGATATTTGAGTCGCAATTAAGCGTAAGCAGAAGGTTCAGTTGAATCTTTAGAAAATACAATCGATCGTATCATATGAAAGTTGACGGCCAGCCGCAAGGATTAATTGTTTGAGGAAATCGCCGCGCAACGCTATGAAATACTATACATAAACAGAAACGTATAAATTACAAGTGCTGCCGGCATTACTTGTGTTACATACACATGCTTGTATACACGGTGCTAAATATGGATTTGGCGCGGCACAATCGTCAAGAGGATTTCGCGTCAGACAGACGCCCTACGTAGCAGACGACACGTTGGCTTGTATATAAATATACATAGAAATGCACAGTATTAAGTAAAATGTTCTTTACGTCATTATGTAAAAGTGGAAGCTGCAATTAAAAAGTAGACGTGAAGAATGATATATTGACAGGGGGTGCTACGTTTGCAACGGCACTGTTTCAACCAGTTTTCGAAGAAGAAAAATTGATATATATATATATATGTATATATATGCCTTTTTCTTTTGCCCCATATCGAAATAATTTCCTCTTTCATTCTATATCGCTCGTTCTGTCCTTGTCCTAACTGCCCCAGTTTTAAGTAGTATTCGTCTCTTCGAAGAGCTGTTTCTATGGGAAGTTTGCTATTGCACGCGCATGCTTGCAAAACGAAAACCCTCTTCGTATACTGACATAGTCTATACGGCTGTCATTTTTGCATATTTCCTACGACAGCAATAACAATAACCGCGACAGCAAGGGAAGCAAGACTGTAGCGCGCGTAAGCGAGAGAGTCACAACCTTTCAAAGTCGGTGGGGAGACCTTGACCTAAACTGTACTATTTCTTTCTACCTCGTTGCCAGCAGGGAACCTGTGTCCGTACGGCGCCTTCCCACCTGCCAGCTTTATACCCCCCCCCCCCCCCCTCCGCCTGTCTTCTGCCAAAAGCCAAGCAAGGCGGGGCGAGATAACACGATGGGATAGAGGGAGTGACGAAGAACTGCCTGTTGGATTGCTTATCTGCTAGTTTTCCTAAGAGCAACTAAGTACGCTATATGAGATAGAGGAGAAGCAAAATGGGACAGGGAAGCGGCACACGCCTACGCGTGCACAAGACAAGAGCAGAAACCATTGCCCGCGCATCGGCCCGCCACACGACTGTCGCGAAACGCGATAATTGTCTTGGTTGCCTTACGAAGCGACTAAATTTAGTAACTATGAACACGAGGGCTCCTCTACCAGCAGACGCGCTATGCTGACTCCGCCAGCCACAGCATGCAAAAAGAAAGCCGACCGCTGCTGCCGCTGCAGTCCCACGAATTCCGAGCTGCCTTCTTTTCCAAGCAGCCTCTTCTGGCCACCTTTCATACAGCAAGCAGCCAACACCACCAGTTTGGATTGTTTGTGTTGCGGCTGGGCAGATCATTGGTACGAAAAGAGCGCGCGAAAAGGTGTTTCAGAGGCAGCGGCGGCTGAATAAGTAGTGGGGAAGAAGAAACTGAGAGAGTGAGCTGGTCTGGCAGACAGATATAAGCCAGCAAACGAGAGTAGTTGTTGGTAGGTGAGCAGAATTGCAATGGCGGTAACAGCGGCCGAACGTATAGCGGATACCGCGCGTTGGAACATCACAGCTCATTCAGTAGTAAGTCAGTCACTCACTTAGATGATTACAAACAACGGTACACGCAGCAGATCCCTTGCTTACTCAGTCCGCCCTACTCTCGTTCCAAGTCGGCTGCTCAGAGTCGAAAGTAAGGACTAAAGCCACTACAGCGGTAGTACCAACACCCACGCAACAAGCAATCCCGATTACTGCCAACAACATAAGACCACTCAATAACAAATGAGAATACAGAAACTGCAAAGCTGACTACAACGAAGTTAACGGCGATGAGGCTAATTGTTTAGTTGACCTATTCAGTGAACTCTCTCGAATTTTCTCCATTGCATCCGATGTATATTCCTCTGCTACCTAAGTCTATGACCAGCAAAAACCCCTTAAACTACAGTATACGAGGGCCAACGGCACTACGAAACAGTGAATTCTCTTGCAACGCACGAGTCAGTCATCAGCACTAGCATCATAACCATTAACTTCAACAGCAGTTTTAGGGCACACTCCCTAAAACCCCTAACAACGCATGTTTAGCTTTTTTCAATATCGTTATAAGCCGCGGCCTGGTCTAACCTCTACATATAGTCAATAGGTGCTTCGGCTGAAGACAGACCGGTAGAAGCAGGCAAGCTTTAAAACAGCATTAACCGAATGAGCCAAGGACTTACTAGTTGAAGACTAGACTTATTGCGTCTCGTTTTTGAAAAGACTGTTGTGGTTTAGTTTAGACTCATAAAAAACATCTGCTAGCCGAGCGTCACAACCGCAATTCATTAATGACGGGCGATGAAACAACATTGAAGATAAAGTCGAGCACACAGGTGTACAACTGAAAAAATTCTAAATATCTAAAAGCGTACCGAATTAAGGTTTAATCATTAAGCAAACCCGAAGTAAATTCTTGCCGCAATGCGCCAAACAGACGGACAGTAGGAAAGAACTTCAGTTCAGTACAACGATGCATTTAACAAAAATATAGTGAAAAGTAACCGGTACTGATATTTACTGATTGCTTCATAAGGATAATTAATAAGAATAAGTTACAAAAATAATTTTGGAAAATTCTTTGGCTGCCCCTTGGATCGTCGTATACTTAAGATAAATCTTATTGTATCTTATTGTATTTCAGTTCTCAATTGCTATGCACAATAGTAACTATTCAGTGTTTTGGGACTATGCATGAAATGGCTAGATGAAGTGGGAAAGAAGGAAAAAAAGCTTATTGCATGCGTCGCTGCCAAGTCATCGTGGTTTCAGATCTTCAGTAGATTTTGAAATTATTCACGACTGGTTTTAGGACACTTACACAAGGGTTGGGAAACGGTTGTTGCTCCGTCCATGGCCGACAAAAATGAATTTTCTTAGGCCAGAACTCTTGACTTGTTGGCTCGCTGCCTTTCTTAGGTTGCCCTCAACGAGTATCAGCACCCTGATCGTGTGTAATCTGAAAAAAAGCCAAATCGAGTATCAATGAAACGTTAGGCAGTGTTTGCACTAGAGCCTTCGGTGGGATTCGTGAGAAAGCCTTTTTGATATAGTTTATTTACTTCGGCGGAACGGAATTCAATATACGACTGTACTCACAGTACCTATATACTGCTTATAAGAGATAACAAGCGGCTAGAGTTTTACCTATTTAATTGATTGTACTATTAAGTATTCAGATAAATGTAATGTTACAACAAGAAAATAATTTATTTTGCTTGCGGAATACCTTCCCTAGCATAACATGAAAGGTATTGCACAGGTAAGGCAGTAGTAACAGTATATCCGATAATTAAGCGTACAAACTTTTTGCATACAATTAATTTTATCATCCTGTGATTGCAACCTGTCCTAACGATCAAATTAATGAATGCAAGTGGTCCTACTTGTCTATCTCCCTCCCCCTTTTTTGCTCTCTCTCTCTCTCTCCATATATATATATATATATATGTAAAGTCTAATAAATAAATAAATAGACGAATAGATTAGTAAATAAAAAAAGTAAAGGCAAATCTTTACATATATATATATATATATATATATACCTATATATATGGAAATCCTGGGTTTTCAGTGTCAGAGTACAGTGTCAACAGGTTTACCTCCACTCCCGATGAAAGTTAGAAATTTGGTATATAACAAAATTGACTAAGAAAAAAATGCTAATAATTATTAGATTTAGTTCAGGTTTACCTACAATGTCGAATCTATTTTCGAATCCCCAGTAGAATTAGATCGGTAAATTTTTTGATCAAATTTTGGCGTTCCTCTTTCGCCGAAAAGCTAGCAAAAATCCTAGTAAATACATACTCTTTTCAATTGTATTGTAGCAGCGTAACAAATATCACTAGAAATCTCTATAAATAGCGTTCTTTCTGTAGCATCATCATTTTACGCTAATTCCTAGATCTCATATCGGCTTTTTAGGGCACGATAAGCGAAAGTCTCATAGCGATTAACTCATTATAGTGATTGTTATCATTGATCAAACACAGCAAATTGATTGCAGTGCAGATGAAACAATTTCCCTGTGACCTTTTTGGCTTGTTGTCGCGTCAATAGTGAACTCGACCGCTGTAATGATCATTGCAACAAACAACAAACTTAAAAACAAACAAACAAAAAAAAAAGTTAACTGGATCCCACTCGTTATAACTTTCCATCATTAAGAACACCATAGCCACGACTATCATTATCACTTTCGATTACGACAACGACAGCGAAAACAACAACAATAAGTCCTGCCTAATCCCAGTATGTGCAAGAGTAGCATTGGTTTTTCATGATCGATCCGAGTTTTGGCCCCACTGCTGTTGTTTGGTCTCCCCGTTGTGTTGCCTGCGGCTTCCGCATAATATTCTATCGACCCATACACTTATTACCACACTATAAAGAGACACAGAATAAAGGACAACTGAAACAGAGACAACGGAGAGAGGGGTAAACGAGACAAGCGTTAGGGGCATCGGGTTAGACAGATAGAGAAAGTAACGAATAGAGCCAGTAGATTGGTCTCCTCCGGATGGCGCGACAACTGCAAAGCTGTCGTTTGTAGCTGTTGCCGCCGACGTAGGTGCTACGACGACGAAGTGCATAACGCTGCTTTCCATTATTTTTATTATTATTACTATTTGTAGTGGTAGTGGTAGTAATGATGGTATAACGCAATAGCGTAATCTCCCCGTGGCGCCAGTTCAGGCAACACAACACAACAGCAGCTATTGCTTTGGCGTGCACCGACTACAGGCTAATGCATCACACAGAAACATGAAAGACTGCGCGACGCGCGGGGAACGAAAAAGTAGGAGAAAAAAAGAACACTGAAAGAGCGAAGCGAATACAACAGTGTGATGACGACCGCGACGATGATAATGGTGATGCTGCTGCGATTCTTATTGCTGTTGCAGATGATTCTGATAATGATGGCAATAATGGTGACTCGAATGATGCTACAGGAACGGCCGTCTTGTTAACGGAGACAGGCGACGGTCGAAACCAACAGAGCGGCCAGGCGGCATAGAGACATGCAACCAAGCGAGCCTGTCAATGAACGACGTAAGCGTCCACGCAAATCAGCGACCTAGCGGCCAGCCCGCGAATAACAGTATGACGACGATCACAAGCAACAGCGGCAACGAAGCGAGATAATGCCAAGGATGACGGGACCACGCAGTAGCCGTTTGCAAACCGCAACAAAACGAGCAGCAAAGGAATACACGAATTGGTAACGCGAGAGGGGTAAAAACGTCAAAGAGAGGGTGACGGCCAAACGACTGTCAATCCATCTCCCCATGGCTGCGGAATCAATGCCAGCATGCTGCAGTACTATGTCCGCATACTGCTCTAGTGCTGTGCTATCAGCGGGGCGAGCGCTGTTGTGACTATCGGTGATGACCGGGTGTCGTACAAGAGCAACACGCAACGACAGTAGCGGTACTAGTTGGAACGGCTTCGGATAATTCACGATATGGACGAAAGTGTTATCGACGATGGTCATTACACGCTGAGAATATAGGTGAGAGCCTCTTGAAAGGGTTGTCGTTAAAACATTTGATGTGTGTCATTGGCTACAAAATACAAAAGTAAAATAGAGAACTGTAAATAATATTGAATGTGAGCAAATGGAGACCGGAACTTGAACAAGGGTCTGTGGCGAACAGGATAATAGCGAGACTGCGATAAGAACATCTACGTGATTAAGTTAAACTTGGCTCATTAGGTTAGGTTTGCTATCTTACATACTTCTTACATGTGGATTTAACTGGGAGAGTCAAAATGGTCCTAGTTGAGTCATTTGAACTGTTATAGGGACACATATTGTGACTTTTCACGAAAATTGTATACAATGTAACACTTACTGGCCGAATATGCACGCTACTATAGAAAGGCGAGGACGAAGCAGTAGATGAACCCCATAAGGAGATGAGTATGAATTTAGACTAGTTAATAAATACGTTTAACAATATAATATGACATACCTGTTATTTCAATGGTGAACAACAGGTCAATAGCAAGACCGACATCAGAACGTTAGCAACTTCGTTGATCAACAATGAGTTTAGGTTTTAATATTCTTTCGACATTGAAATTAATTACCCTTATGGGAAAGTACAACATTACGGATGCAACTGGGACCCTGCTACACTGATCCGTTATCATTTTTGCTTTTGGTAGTAAAGGGCATATTTGTCTCATCAATCACTTCTGAGAGAGGAATATCTGAGAATTAACCCATGAAGTTACACACTCAACAAAAATACGAGTGGAAGGGGGCTGAATAATTTAACAAATGCATGAAATGGTTAGTTTTTCCAGAAGTAACTGATATAGTGGAAAAAAGAGAAACAGAAATTGGCCAAGGTGAAGTGTTTGTTTGTAGCATACAACGGGGAATTTTCTTTTTTTCGTTAACGTTCTTGCAGTTATTTTCAAGACACTTATACGACACTTATCAAAGGCCAATTATTGTAAACTTAGAATATACTACATAATACATAATTTTGAGTAATATAAAATCAGGATCGTGTTCAGAACTTCTGTCGTTCAGTTGTTTACGAAGATATACCAAGCAAGTTGTATAACAGTTTCCCGCTGGATGTGACTGATAAATCACCAGAACATGTTTGCTTCCTTTCACAATCACTGGCTGTACGTAAATCAAGGTCTTAGGAACATAAGCAACAGTAGTCCTCGTTTCCCGTGAGACACGTTAACCTGAACTCGCTGCATCAGAATTCGAATCAGTTTCGACGAGAAGGAAGCCATACTGTGTTCTTAATGGAAAGCTGATTTACTGAGTGAATTCTAAGATGTTGCTTGATTGTTCTATCGACAGCAAACACCGCTCAACAGAAAATCACCAACGTTTAACTCTATAGAGTATCCGTGGTAAACCACTACGCTATTATAATCAAATTAATATCACGGGTAATACTAATTAAGTTGTGAAATAACCTTGCTTCAGCAGCTTTGCTAACAAATAAATTATGTTCATTATTGTCTTATATATATTCCTCTATTATAAAATGACTCACTAATACTAGTTACTACGCGATAAACATGAGTAGGTATATAATTAATGGGGGGCTCTCACATCACGAAGGCGAAAAGCCCGACCTTAATCTCTCGAGATTAAGCTCACAACTTACCTGTACCTAGTGAAGAACGATCGTACCGATTTAGAAGCGTAAATCGGCTGCCGATCCGTGACTTCGTTGGGGTTGCCTGGAGCAGTTGTGGTTTCGCCGTTGGATATGGATCGCCTTCTAACCACCGTCCACCTGCACCTGCTTTCGTTCGGCTGCAAGCAAGCGCACGAACGCAATCCCCTTCATTGGTAAGATATCGAAAGTAAAGGAGCGGAAGGTGTAGGACTCTTCATTATTATACAATGTACTACTACCATCATTGAATCAGTATCATCACCTAACCTAACCTACATACCATATTGGTGGTTGGTTCTGCAGCTATTTTAAAGAAAGCGAAAAGTAATAGAAATTGATTAATATAACCGAGCAAGTGTTCTCGCAAGGGGTTTTTTGGTATTAGGAAATTTCAAGTTCTTATGTTTTGGAGCAACAATATTTATTACATTGTACTGCCTTTCATGAGTGTAGTAGTATATTTAAATAGGCAGCTCCCTGCATTTAGTTACTGGTGATGTTCAAATTCAGTGCACTGACCCCAATAGAAGTGGAATTAAATTTCGTGATCAATTCAGTAACTCATCACATAGGAAAGTCATTATCTCTCCGAGATCGATGCCTCGTCTTATTCTATATCTATGTGTATACACACGTCATACGAAGCTTATACATAACACAGATTTTAACATTGCATTTTATTGGGAAATTGGATTTGAAAAACACCTTTATTTTCACAAAATAATAGTGCATGCATCACCCTCTCTTCGTATACTTCGTGCTGTGTATTCTAGTACGTGTCCGGCTGCGCCGATTACGACTAGCGCGGTTTTGACTGAGAACATCACACCTATCATTGTTTGTGGCAATTCTCCTCGCTAGATACGTAGATCTGGACATGCAACAAAGTAGCCCTGACAGCTACTGACGGATTGTCATAGTAAAAGGCCGGCTTCGACTTCGAGTAGCCTAACAATGATTACGGAGATGTTATTACTTCTGTTGGTGTCAAGGCGGTTGACACCACGGTCGTATCAATGGGTGCCCGTTGATTGCGCGAACCAACGCTATCAAGAAAGGCTAATTGAACAAAAATAGATAAAACACATAAATCGTATACTGCCACAAGCGCGGCAGAGGGTCTGATAGCCATCAAAAATTTCGTTGCTTCCCATCACTACTGCTGCCGTTCGATATAACTGTCCAGCGTTTGCTTTCACGTTATGATCGCGTTTGCGACCGCCTACGACGAGGTCTAGCTCCAGAAAAGCTGCAAGGCTGCTTAATAATTCTACAATAACGTGCATTATCTGATACAATACAAACCGACGGTACGCTATGATGCGCCGCAAAAGGATCGATTGCATTGAATAATACCCCCCCCCCCCCCCATGGCAAGATACTGAGCTGTTTCCCAGTCACCTTTGTCTGTCCCCGCTTCCGTTTCTGTCCTATTGATAAAAAGCAGGTGTATCTATATATATATTTGACTTCACAATTGTAGCACAAACTCTAAGATGTACATTGTTTTCTGAGCTATATATCGTTATCTGACGCAATAACATCCAACTCTCAGGAGCTATACACTCAGCCGCTATCAAATCAGCCGCCCGTGCTTCCGGTGGCGGTTAAACAGCCAGCGACTTAGGGCTGATGGCAACAACTATGTCACTGCGGTGCAACGGCAGCGCGATCGATCTGGTTTCCTGTTTCGCGCGTCTCTCCTCTTAGAAGGGTCAACCACAATGCGCGTGGATGCCCTGCCTTGATTTGACAGGACAACAAACGGCGCGATCAAATTATTAAACAGTAATCATATGCCTGTGATCTCATTGTGTAGTACTTTCACCCCTCCCCCCCTGGCCCGTTCTCTATTTCCTGCACACTCATACAGAACCTCATAAAAGGTTCTGCATAGGTAGACTGAAAGGACACACTTATTTATCTACCACTTAGTAACGCCGTAGAGTAATCGTGGCTGACGACTCGATAGGTTTTACCGCCCCTTTACCAGAACTATAATACAGAATGACTAGAAGAAATCGATAGTGTGTGGATGCTGTCCCGGTTCATCTCACCAGTGTAAATATAGCCCAGTTGGGCAAGTGCAATACATCAAGTGAAAAGATACCGAATAGTTAGTGGACTCTCTTTGTAATCCAGTTAAATCTATTAAGGAAAAATCTGACATCAGGATCAGTTTATTAACAGTCCTACCCAACGGTATTGTTGAGTAGTACCCAAAATCGGAAGACGTTATTCGATGAAAAAAGCTATGCGCCTCGCATGTCCCCTTTTGTCTGCCGGTTGCGTTAGCGGTGTCTACGACTGTCAGCTATTGCTGGTAGAATAGAAAAGGCCTATGCGGCGACATGATTGTAGCCTTGAATTTGAAATTGCCAAGTAATTTTTTCCAGCCAAATTTGGTTCACATGTCGAACAACACTCAGTGACGGGAGCCACAAATGAATGGGCGTACGTGCTAATTTTCGGGGGTGAAATGGTATACGCCAACATGCTTTATTGACTCTACTGGGTACTGGTTGTGGTGGCCGCTCGCACTAATTGACATATTCAAGCGGGGAAATGCTATTCGGACGCAGTCTGAGGTCAGAATCCACAAAACACGACTAAAACAGTATTCGTACGCACATACACATATATATAGATATATCAAGAGACAGTAAATGATGGAGGAAATATCGTTCACATAGACTATGTTTTATTTATATATAGGAGCCGCAAAGACACAGATGCATTCACTCCGTGGGATGAAACAAAGACCGGCTGTGGACAAGAGATGAACAGACATCGAACAGGACTATCAACTGGGGTCTGACAGGGCGGAGCTCGAATTCAGGACGGCGAAGCTTTCTGAAGGGGGATTTGGGTATAGTGAGAACACGAGCGGCGGATAAAACAGTAGCAGCGGGAACAGACGTCGCTGATACTGCACACGCTATACGAGTAATACCAATCGCATATAGTAGGTAAGAATAGTGACTGTTCTGCTTAAGGCTGACGACTTCTAAAGAACGACCAGTCAGTCATATGGCTATATGAGAAAACGACATCAAAAAGGACAGCGAAGGATGTTAAACTGCATTCAATGTAATCGACTCGAAAACGCCGTTGCTCAATAGCAAGTACGACCGTACCTAGGGTAACAAGGGGAGCAGAGGAGACTGCAAACTACAGGAAAGAAATTAGTTTGTGTAAAAAATACATACCGCTGTCCGAACTATTTCACTAAAAAAGAACTGCTGATCGAAGCAATTGATTTGGACGCTACTGGTGCCTTCGATTTTGCATATATCCAACAAGAGCGATTGTCGATATGTGTGCATTCATGATCAGTGTCACGTTCGTTTAAAATCTTTAATTGGCAGTCTCTACAGGCCCTAAACCGCCGAAACCAAATATACTTTTACAAACAAAAAGTGGCAAAACGTTCTGTTTAGCAATCCACTTTCGACGTCTAATACCCGCGTTAATTACTAGGTCCTTGACTCGTACTCAACCGAGCGTACACTCTCGACAGCGACCACACATATTCCAGAATCATATCGAACGCACGATATGACCCTTGGCAAAAAGGCCACCTTGAAAAGATCGGATAGCTAGCGTTTCTATAGTTTATATTGCTTGGGTAGTATTTTCTTGGTAATTTGTAATACTCTGTAGCTCTTCTCTGGCTCAATGTTACAATATTTATTTACATTCTATTTTTATCCTGAGAGACTTATTACTATGTGTGCCGCCGAAAAAAATATATGTACATATAAGTGACCGATTTGTAATACATAGGCATACAGCTAGACCATCGAATACACAATTTGCATATGTCTACGAATCCCCACCCGATCGCAGTGGCCCAGTAAAATAACTTAATAAACATTAGAAGCTTGAACGGCGACAGACCACGAACCATAACAGTTCAAATTGTCATCAACACAGAGGTGAGCAGTTTCTGTAGTAACAGAGCCAGCGAAGAATGAAGAAGACTAACATCGATACACCGACTAGAGCTTCGGTCGGTGGAGATCGGAAGGTTAGGTTATTCTGGCACCCACTCGCCTTGCCGTCTCGTCGCCTGCCGTTGGCGTCAATCAGAATTGTATTCCGTCACCGCCCTCTCTATCGTTGCGGGCATCTGAGGACAGATACCGTAATGATCACAACAAATCGTCGCCATATGATATTTTAGTCCATTCACACACGGACTAATAAATAAAAAAGCACTTCCAGCACAATATTCACCAGAGAAAAAACAATCACACAAACACGCATCCATCGGTCATCACACGAATATCAATGTATATTGAATGTGGCGACAAGGCGCCCTACTCATCTAATGATTGCCTTAAAGGTGACGTGCTGGTGCAACTGCATTCGTTTTACTTGCTCTCTACGACGGACCCGACCACGCGACGCGGTCGACCGCCAGCAGCTATCCGCAGCTGCCGCTTTTACTGTCACAGTCTTTGAAAATAAAAGCGCTAATGCCAACGACGGCAAAAGCGATCAGGCAGAGTCTTGAGCCCAGTGTTGCGAAAAGGCGTTGTACGTGTATTCCTGTCATTATTGTCGTCGATATTGTTTAGAATTGGCCGGTAGCACTGTATTTTGATGGTGCTTTTGTTGTATAGGCATACATATATATATGCGTAAATATGCGTCACGCGCGTACATGCGCACGCACGCAAATCACCGAACAGTGTGAACGATGGCATTGAAAGGCGGACTCGTAGATAGCATACATTAGAAGCATAGGTTGAAGGTGGCATACCGTAATGCGCGATCGATACACAAGCAATTCACGGGAACGCTACCGCATTATTAATAAATAGAGTACACAGCACTCAATTAGCATAAGACAGCAGCACATTTTGCGATCGTCACATTGTCAGAGACTGAAGGAGATGGCATTAAACTGTTGGAACAACTCACTGACCGTTGCCGATGCTCTATTTTATTTGACGGAGAACGCATTTGTACCGTTGTCGCTGATGCACGGGATGGTCAAATCGCCTTCGGTTTTGTCGGCTTATCTTACGTCTCGAGTTGCGGCTGCTTGATCCCGTACAGTTTCAGTACCTAAACAGGTCGAACGGCTAACTATAAAGTTTTTATCCAACTTCATCTGTAACCAGTCGCATCCGCGTGAAGCATGCCCATTAACTAACAGGAGCCTACTCGTTTTCGATTACCTCGTCGGCTATCGGCAGGTTTGAATAAATTCTGATTTGACTTGAGGCTGTGACTAACGACGGACGCTACTTTCAGTACTTCTCAGTTTAACTCAAATTCAAAATGTACACGAACCTGTGGTACACTTTGGAAAATCGAAGGGAGTCCTAACCTCTATCCGCTAATCCATTGCTATTACAGTGAGCGGCACTTCGACATTTTACACATTTAAGGTATGTGAGACAGCGTAAAAATGCACAATTACTACGGTCCCAAAGGCCTGCCGCTATTCCATTAGTGTGACTCTCTCCGGCTCCCCATAGCAGAGCCGTTAGTTTTGTTAGGTATTTAACGGGTCGCCTGACGACGAAGAAAAGGCCATAGATCTAGAACGTCATCGCTCTTTGATCTTGCTTTACCTTTACTTCTTCTAATAATGTAAAGCATCCTCCAACAAGCTTACAGGCTTATGGTACCGATTCTCAAATATGGAACATATTGGTGTAAAATTCAGTTCAGGTCTGGATTACCATCAGCGCTGTGCAACTTGAGCTATGTAACTACTCCATCCAACTCTATTATCCATGGCCGTTGAGTCTCGGTTGCCACCCAATCACGGTAAACGTTACAAATAACCAAGGTTAACGGTGCTGTCCTTCCAGTCAAATTAGTCGATGCAGGCGGCCGAAGCGTTCCGCCATCACCACTGTCATCAGCAGTACAACAAAAAACGAGTCACATTTTTCTGAGAACGGTCCAAGGCGGTTTCCGATAGCCTATCGTCCTGCCATGGATAGTGGCCGACACAGTAGGTGACAAAAGTAAAAGGACAGGGAATCGCAAAGGGAATGGCGATTGCGTCGTTCCTGATTTCGATGCGGTTCCTACCACCTACCCCTCCGCAGGCTGTGCGGTTTAGTTTGATATATTTGACGAACACGTTTGCTGCGGACTACGTCGAAGAAAGTGACGCTCCGTTGACTCACAGCAGTTGCTTATCTGCTCACTGTTGAAAGCCGGTAGGTTCGGTTCATGCGAGGCAAGTATGTTGTACGTCTCAGCTACAAAGATGATGTCGATGCTTACGAGAATAAGAAGGCACGGAAAGTAACTTATGAAAACAGAACACCAAAAAGCACCAGGCACCACCATACGATACTAGATTTATACACAACATACCACCATGTGCTAATCGGACATCATCGCCATCATCACCATGATCACAGCATCACAAACGAACTAATCATAGAACGAAATAACAACTATGACAACGAACAGATGCGCAGGTGCCATGTTAAAAATGGAGCAGGAGACACCGTAGATTGGTACTAGAGGTCGAATATCGATATTCGGTTCAGCTAAGCTAGATTGGGTTTGTTTGGGCCCGACTGGGTCAGACCAGGCCGAGGTCGTGGCTGCTTAACCTTAAGCTTACACCAAACCCGCTTTCATATGGCCAACTCAGACTTGGACGTCCTGCTGTACTATCCCGTCACTCGGTCATACCATCCAGTGGGGGCACCACTTACGCTCATGCTTGGCTTTGCTCCTACAAGCACTACGCAAACCAGGAACTCCGGTGTGCCTCTCTCTTTTCATCTGAAGCTTGCCGCCTATTCATATTCTCACGTCACATCGTACGACACCGTTTTCATTCCATATATATATATATATATATATATATATATATATATATATATATATATATATATGCCTCTTTCTTTCCTTTGTTTGCTGTCAGTACCGCTGCTCGGGATCGATAAGGTCGGCACGTGGGGCAACTGAGCTGGAAGGAGTGTTACTACTCTTTCCTGTTCCTGTGCAGTTCTGCTGCTGTTACCACTGGAGCTATTAGAGTGAGTAAACGAGCCGAGTCAACGACGACCAGCTCCTGCTGGTGTTGATCCCTTTAATACTGCAGCAGTGTTCACTGCCGTAGCCGCGAGGGTCGGGCCGATGACCACAGGACGAGCGGCCGCAACGACCGACAAGCCGAGCAAGCGACTACAGACTCCCATATTCCATCAGTCTGTGCCGTATTCGGGCGTTATCGCTGCCACTGGTCTATGTGCAGCAACGCTGCAATCGTCAGTATCATCACGGCTAGAACGGAATGGTCCCGTATGACCACACTCGACGACTCCCTTGTCCTATAACGGTATTAGTGGCTGTATTGATAACACGTACATATAGTGGAAATACGTAGTCAATCAGGCGACGTTTGCTCAACGAATCGCTAGCGCCACAGGAGACTAGATAGCTGACTAGTTTATCAATTTCAGGCTGAAATGTCTCTGTTAGGCCAATTTGCTCGGAGCTGTGGCTGCGGCGGCAGCCTACTCATTGACGATTCGATTCGCAGATTTCTTCGTGTCGATAGCGGCGAGTTATTCTTCCTCATCACGTAATACAAGTACAGCCAATCATTATACACTAATCGCGCTACCACCTGCACCATCAGCGCTGGATGGACTCATTCACATCCGCTCCCATTCACACATTCACACTTTATATCACCATTATAATCACCGTTATCAGAGCACCATCATCGCCGCCGTAGTCGGATATGAACAAGGCACACATTCATATCGTAAGAGGCAGCGCTTAATCGTACCTCGAACCGTAGATTCTACGTGAGGTCATCACCCTCGATTGACTATTGGGTAAGTGTCTACTGTAGCTTCCTCACAATCACTCACTACTATGCACCATTCGTCCCATTCTCTCGACGTTCGTTGCCGTCGTCATCGTCGTTGTCAAGACTGCATCGTCGCAACAGTGGTCTTACATCCTTCACAAACAAACTCACCTGTAGCGAAGGCGGCCAAGTGGGCGCGGAATCGGCAGAGATCGCCCACTACAGTGGTCCTGATCTCCTTTCGACTAAAGGCCGCTCCGGCTCCTTGATCCTGTCGTGGTAGTGCTAATAGTATTAGTAGTAGTAGCAGCAGTAAATCTCGCGTAAGCTGTTACTTCACTCTGGAATACTCATTAATCATCGTCAATACTTAAGACGTTGTCCTGCGAAAAGAGTATACGGCACCAGCTGGAGCCGCTGCTTTTGCACGTTTCGGCGGTAGACCTTGTCTAACCGATCTAATTCCTTTCCGTTAAGTGCCTATATCGACTACTAATATCCGACTTATTTCGTTTGATTGGTTGGGCAGCGGCAATGGCAATTATCGCTGACACCCTCTTCGTCACCGCGCGTCGAGATTGCACGTTCCGCTGTATTCGCTTTTCGGTTGAGGGTCTTTTAGTGGCTACCTGGCGCTGCTACCTCCACTGCCCTGTTGTTGTTGTTGTTGGTATTTTTATGTACTGCTATGCACCGAAGTAAACAGGGCGTAATAGCCAGTACAAGTAATCGCATAATCAATCGTCAGATTTTTGTCTCAGCCAGTAAAGGCGATGGCGAATAGAGGTAGATATAGACAGATCAATCACTCAATCAAACCATCACTCATTCACACAAGCCCGTACTCTATGCTGTGCTATGTGCTGTCGCTATACTTCAGCCGTCGTATAGCTCTTATGCGTAAAGATTATACGGAATTCTTGTAAGCACCACTGTCATACAGCCATCACTATACGATTATCCCCAGCGCGAGCGGCGCGAAAACCAACACCGTCACTTTACGAAAAACACGAACGGTACCAACACTAATTCAGCATTACCACGAACTGACACTACCACTAACGAAAAAGGAGAACTCCTCTTGTTGCTTCCGCTGTTGCTGGTTATCCTGCCCTGTCCTATTCAATCCTACCTGCGGAGGTTGGCTAGCTGCTCCTGGTTCTGCTATCCCTGGCTTTTGGCCTGCTCTGCTCGCTAGGTTGTCGCTGCTGCTTGGACGATTACGACAGTGATCGTCGTTGACGACTACAACAACCACGCGAATTACTCCACACTGCACTCGCTCTGCGGCAACTTCTGCGACTGCTACGGGTGATAGGAACACTGATGGGGTCCTTCTAGCAGTTGGAGTATAAGCAGTTGTATAAACGCACAGCAGTTGCCGTACCTGCGATTCGAACTCTTTATAGCTGCTGCTGCTGCTGCTACTAAGACTCGATTGGCAATGCCCCTGTTGCTGCTGCTTCTGCGGTCACAGTATGCCTACACTCCTGTTGTAGCAGTTGGTCGTCGTGTTGCCCCCGTAGCTCTTCTTGTTTTTCTTCTTTGGCCACTCACCACAGCAAAGCACTGAAACTGCCTCTGCTATACACTGCTGATACTGCAGCAGCGGCGGCTGCTGCTGCTCTGTTATGAGCGAACGAACAAACGACCAATCAAAAAAACGGCCTATCTACCTATCGTCAGTCGGCTGCTGGCCTAGCAGAGTGCGTTCTCCATTTGTTGGTCAATCGGCAGCAGGACCCGTAGTAGTCGTAGTAGCAGCAGCAGTGGTAGGCAGTTGCAGAGAGCAAGACTGGCGGCCGCTTCTTCTTCTTCTTGTTCGAGTTTTTAAAGCTGCTATTGCCCCTGCCGCAGCGGTTATTGCAGTTACTACTGCCGCTGCTGCCACTGTCCGGTTGCAGTTCAATTGCAGTTACTGTCTTTGCCTGTCTGTGTGTTCGTCCGCCCGTCTATATCTCGCTCCGGTAAAGCGCTCCTGCTGCCGATCTGATCTGATAATGTTGATTAGTTTGCTAGATTCGTCGGTACGGCTGTTATGTTTGCGGTTTGTCTTCTTGCTTGTTTCAGTCTCTCAGCCTACCAGCCTGCTGCTGCTGCAGGTTTTACTCTAGGCTGCTGGTCGCCGCCTGACTGGTTCACTGACTTACTTCTGAGTGAATTGACGACTGCTTTGCCCACTGCCTTACAGACCACACACACACACTCACTCCTGCTGCCTGGTTCCTGCTAACTCCACCGAGACCAGCAGCACTGTTCGCTTATTATGCTGCTGCTGCTGCTGCTACTGTCGTCCCTCAGCCGCTAGCGGCGGACGTCGGCCGTAGCGGCCTGGGTGGCCAGCTCAGAAAGCTGTGCGCCACTCTCGCGGGTTCCGACGCAGCTCACTTGGTCTAACATGGGTGGCCTCATACTCCACTAGTCCATGGCTCGACACAATTTCAGAGACACTGAGAACACTCGACTGACTGCTACTCTCTACTCTCACAGTACACCATCAAACCAAACGCACCAAAATGTCGTTCCCCAAGTGAGAACAAGTATGAACGCATTCGGCCCTGCCAACGACCGCGAGGATGGGCGGTCCGCCAAAAGGGGCAGAATGATGAAAGGCCGACACCGATCGGGCGATCGGGGCCTCCTCGTAGTTGCCGACGTCACATCACACACACACACACTCATGCGCATACAAAGCGAGCGCCACCATCGGCCGCAGACGACACCCGCAATTTGAACAATACAGAATCACACTGGTCTTCGAAGTCTTCTCTACCTTAGTTCGCTAGTTGGGCGCGATAGCGCTCAGAGCGTTCAAAGTGACCTGACTCGCGATGCTATCGATGAGCAACAACGACAGCAGCTGCGCCAAGAGGGACGGTGCGCATTGAACTGAAATCTTGTTGTTATCGTTGTTGTGGGCCGAACAACTGTAATACTCGTTGCGCAAGCACGAGGCATGAAACAAAATGTTGTAATGTACGGAAATCGTGAATGAACGGTGAAATAGTGTTTGTTCCAGTGTCCGAGTGTCTGGTAGAATTAGCGGGGTTGTTCGCGACTCCAGCCTTCCCACTCACCCCTTGCAAGCTTTGGGTGTAACATATGTAAAAACGATATTCTCCGTCACGTTTTGCGGACAGCCTAAATAAGCTAAACTAATACAGGTAACGATTTGCTTCGTTAGCTACATATGTTCTCTGAGCAGCTCATAATTTATACGTGTTCTCCGAAGAGTAGAACGAGCAAGATGCATTTTTCATGTGTGCGCTTTTCACGCCATCACGTTTAGCCTCAGAGAACACCGATAGATTCACTTTGCTAGACATACTGTGTAAAAGTTGGTAAACACAATTTATAATTGGATTTCTGTCCGTTCTGATATACACCAACCTTCTCAGAGAAAAGTCATCGTATCCAAACAATTACTCTATTGAAGTCCTCACTCAGATTAGTTCACACTGGTATTTGTATTGACCGCCCGTTCTTGACGTTGAAATAGCGGGACAACCCGCGGGATTGTGATCTTGTGATGGCCACTGAACGCGCTAGCGAACATAGGACAAAAGAGCAGCAACAGCGACTGCCATTGTGTTATGAGCTAGTGAGCGCCAAGGGGAGTGATGCGGAACAATTTCGAAAAAATCCCCGCTAACTGTTCACACACACAGATACATAACCCGCTGCTGGCCACTTTCTGGGAAAGGAGAAAAACTCAATGAGGCAACGAGTAGCAGAGTGGTCGGCAAGGGATCACTGTCGGCTGACTGGCTGTTTGTTTCCTTGCTAGCGAAGGCGGGATCAGCGCTGGTGGTGCTCACTGCCGATATTGACGATATCGATAGGCCGACAGCAAAAGCTGTGAGTAGCAGTGCACGGAGGTGGGAGCGCCGAAACGACGAAAACTAACAGGCGGAATATATTGTAAGCTTTGCACCGCAGCTCAAAGGGTTTGCTGAGCGCAGAACGAGACTGCAGTCCCAAAAGTTGTCTGCCGGCTTGCTGTTCAGAACGTGCCTTCCGACTCAGTTGTTGAACGTTTTGTCGCAATATTCGCACGACGCCAACGCTAGTCGAGGCGTACACATGGACACGCAGAACGATGAGATGAGCCTACGATGTTTTGGTGGCCTACCAGTTAGTCTCACACTACCGCCAATGGCATTGGGATATTTTTGATTTAGGCAGACCGATAGATATTTGCGTGTCGTGCACAGGAAAAAGGACTCAGTCCAGCACCCTTCGTAGGGCAGCTGCTCACTATATGAAACGGTTGCATGCGTTGTAACTCTGCTATTAAGAGGACAGGAAGCCAACTCAGGAACAGCAAAGATAGAAAATGACCAAGACCGAGCCACAGCAGAAAATCAGCTAGCTTTTGCTTGACTATGAAAAACTGTGTATAGGCTTTCAAATAACCTTCGACCTGCCTCTTCATTGACGTAGTTTGGTAACAAATATTCATGCACGTAGTAGTAATAATAATAACAACTAATAAGGCGCATTCAGAGCAAGAGCAAGGATTCTGTATCGTTACGTGGCTTCCGTGCGATGTATGCTTTTGAAAGAAGTGTTTAGAATAGAAGACATGGCACATCATAACTAGAAGAATAGAAGACGTAGTAGTAGTAAGCCTATTCTCGGCCCTGATAATACCTCGTACGCGGATCCGATCCGATATAGAATTATAGTATGGTACTCCTTACGGTAGAAAGTTCTCGATTAGCTATAAGAATGCACGAAAATGATTCTTAAATGACCAAAGATGTTGCGGTAAAAGGTAACCCCTGCGTAAGTTTCATAAATTCTCCAACCTATAGGTAGCTTTGAAATGCTTAGGACAGCGTTTACACAGCGTGTTCAAGAATACAAGGATAAATGGAAAAATCCAGTTGGGCTGTGAAAGAATTTTTTTATTTCTTTCTAAATCAATTCCGGTAACTACATGATTGCATTAGACGACTTTTGCGAATAAAATTAACTTGAGGACGCACTTGGTTTAGACAAACTGAGCATATCCAACAGGAAATTAATTAATTAGTAATTAGAACTGTTGCAGGGTTTTTTAAAAAAAAAAGCTGTTGCGACACTTATATACATGTAACATAAACAAAACTTCCTGAAATAAATCTAATTTAAATTGTATGGCTTCAGTGTGAGCAAGTCAACTGTCTATTGTTGGTATTCTTGAATGGCTATATATACGAATATTAATTATCGAATTTACTAATAGCTAGTCTTCTATAGGTCACACATACATTACGAAGCTTGTATCAAAGCAAGTTTCGAAGGCTCGCTGCTCTCCTCTAGCAGAAGCAACAATATTATTACATCGGTGCAAGGCCTGAATAAGTGTTTAACTTGCCTAGTTAAGGAAAAGTCTACCTAACAAATTATAATAAGACCTAAAAAAAGAAGTAAATCTTCGAGTTCGACACAAGCAAGCCTATCGTTGGAAAAACGTCTGAATGTCTCTTTGTCCATGGATATCTATATAAATATAGCCAAATATCTATAGGGTGTGTTAGGTGATGCCAGCCCACTTGCGTGTAAAGTGAGGTTGAAACTATCATTTCGAGACTGAATCTAGACAGAGAAGTATTATCATTTAAGTTATTAGTTACTTTAAAGAACTTTCAATGTTGCCCCTTTAAATTTTGCAGATAATATTTTAATTATATAATGAAACACTTCCATTAGTTCGTCTGTTCAGGTCTAATCCGGGGTCGAAGAGATTTTCGAATGATTTCGGCGTAATTATCTGTTATACGTTGTTCAATTGACCACTGTCCCAAAATTTATCTGATTCAGTTCAGAATCATTGAGAAGCAAGTATGACATTGTAGATGCTCGTACATTGATGTAAATATAAAAATGTTTCTAATCTATTTTCAATAAAACCCGTGACTATACGAAACAGTTTATAAATAATAATAATTATTATTATCATTATCGTATCGTCATCTTTATTAATACCTGCGTATCTCATAAACGCTCAAAGCTTTTTTGCATTAACATACAGTTTTGACTATATTCGTCGAACGATTAATTACGCAGTTATTGCAGCTTAATAGGAATATTCTATGCTCAATTCGTAGAAGAGAAAAAAAAGTGACATTTAAGCTTCAAAACATTCAGTCTCATATAAACGCTGTTCAAATTAAGTTATGAATCATGTAATGAGAATACAAATTATCAAGCTTATAGCTAAAATGGCTCCAGTAATTATCCAGTATCGCTGGTAACTGGCAGAGTAAACTAACCGCCAAAAGAAAAGAATAAGTATGTGCGGCTAAGCGCGAGATACACATCCTACTTACTAAATATCTCTTATAATTTAAATTGTACTTAGATTGTAACATAAGTACATCCGTTATTATGTAAAAAATAAACTGACATCAATCTTCGGTTGGATACTTGGTAACTGATAATCTTCCTCGACCGCGTAATCATTTCTTAGTATAGAAAATATTAATAATAATAATAACAACAACGACCTTATGGTATCGCAGTAATCCCGATATAATTAGAGGACACTTCCTGAAAATGCACTAAGTCTACATTACAAGAACATATAATCGAACGATGCTCAGAAAACGAATTCGAAAGAAAATAGTTAAAACGGTCCGTTCAGACTGGTGCAGCTTTGCTGTTTGTAGCGATGTTTACAGAAGTAATCGTAACTTCGTAATCTGACATAGTAGGCCATCGAAATATTACTTGAGTCACTTAGGTATTTCCACATTTGAATAAACGTTAGATAAACATAGTTTAACCTTACCATTCGGCCAGTCTGCTGTATCTATCTATATATATATATATTGTGCACATAGACACATACGCACAATTATCATGTGATAATTGAGGCAGCGGGGTGTGATTAGTTCTGCCAAACATGCAATTTCAAAATTTTTTCTATGCGTTTATTTTCCTACGTCATTATTGTCATTTTAAACAAAATAAACTGTAAATACTAACCTGCTAATTGTTTCTCTTGTACCACGATTCGAAAAGCATAAAATTACATAAAAATACATTTCTAGTTCAAACAGACCTGTCGCCTACTATATACATCTGCAATCGCCCATTATAAACATGATTTATCCGTAACTGTGTGCCGGAGCCTCGTTCATATCTAATTCACTTTATACTAAAAGCCCATAGACATTTGCGTTCTAGTTGGGTGAATTGTCCGCTGACGAGCTTGAGGTCGAAATTGAATTATTTGTTGTATTCGTCGACTTCGTCGTTAATTCTTCCTCAGACAAACCCTGTATGGTCGATTGCGGAACCACAACCGGATGATCATCAGGGTTAAGTGCAGGCACGAGCGGTAAACAGTTCGAGTCCACTTCATAAATTGGTACATTTGGACTATTGCCGTGACCAGTAGTACCAGGGTTACAGGGCAAGCTAGGGGCTACGTTAGGTGGTGCCTGTGATTGCCTTGTACCAACTGTTTCCGTGCCTTGATTTGCACTTGTTGCGGTCACTGTATTGTTATTACTGGGTGTGCTGATTATTGCACTTGGGCCGATTTGATTTAATTCGTCTGTAGTGGTATTGGAGACTGGGTGATTGACCCCTACGATTTGACGAGATGTGGGCTGAACAGCACCTGCTTTAGCAGGCATGGCTGAGCTGTTTATAGAGCTAACCCGCACTAGATGCTGTTGTTGTGATTGTTGCTGAAGATGATGATAATTCTGATACAGCTGTTGATATTGTGCGTTCTGAAGTTTTTGCATATGTATGTGTTGCACCTGAAGATGAGTTGGATACTGCTGTTGTTGAGATGGCTGGTGATTTGAAGTTCTTTGCACGTGGCCTTGTGGGGTATGGTGGAGTTGTTGAATGGCAGTATTATTGCCTGTGCCTGTCGGCGGCGTTGTTCCGGCAGGTGGTAACGATGATAACGGGCCTACCTGCAAATTGTCTGATGGTGACAACCGACGAATTTCCCCACATTCACGCAAATTCTGAGGAACAATTTGACCTCCGTTGCACATGCCCTGAGCCCAACCTGCAGTTCCTGCATGGTGCATAGTAGCTGTAGACTCTCGAGAATAGCCAGTACCCATTAGTGGTGACGCTAAGGATGTTCAAGTTAGAAGAAAGGTAATGACATGTTAGAGATTAGAGGGCGCTAATGCTACGCATACGGTCTTAGGTAGAGGTCATATTAAAATGGACCATTACAAAAATTTCAATGGATTATGACGATCACGCATTTACAGTTCATTACTTCAATATATGCGACTTTTTCGAAAATACATAAAATGTTCGCTACGTTCTCACGGTACAAAAACAGGAGTTATATTAACGGCCTTAGCGCAAATTTGCTGAAGCAAACAATGTCATATTTGTGGTGTAGTAAAAAGGAACAGTAGAAGAAGACAGACGCACGTTTGCAAAAAGTAAGTGCATCCTTCAGTTCATCGAGCACCTCACGCATTTCAGGTCTTTGTTTCTTGTTTTCAGAGGCACATCGGCGACCAAGATTAAGGAACAGCTCCACAATGTCATTCGATCCTGGTTCGTCTCCACCAGTAGGATCCTTGGCTTCAAGCTGTCTTCCAAATGCCTTTAGCGCATCGATGTGACTTGATAGAAACCGATGCCGTCTTGTTTCATCACAAACTCGAAGGTTTGTTGCTAATTCGAGGAGCACCTGTTTAGAAAAGAGTAATTCGACTTATAGATGTTTCCCAATTGAACAAAAATATCAATCAATATATAATTACTTTGTGACCGTCATTTTTAATACTCGTGCAATTTGCTTACCAAACCAAAACTGTATACATCAACCTTCGTCGACAAATGCCGGGACTGGAGGTATTCAAGCGGTAAATAATATCTTGTACCCTGTAAGCGTGACACGTCTCGATGAGTGCATCCCCCATCCGGACCTTCACGGGTTAAACCAAAGTCGCCTAAAAGAGGTTTTTTCGGTAAGTCCCGCACGTATTAACAGCAACATGATTTACAACGATAATTAAAAATCAGTGATGTCAAAAATACTAGCTAAATTGGTGCAGCCCAAATGATGGGCTGTGCCACATATAATGCACTATCGCACTTTTATAGTGACTAATGTTTAACGATATTTACAGCTCCTTCCTTTAATTCCTTAAAATGCCTTTAAAAAAACTGCAACACAATGCAGTCATATGATTTATGGTCACATTCATAGTTAAAGTTGTCTTACCTAGTTTCGGTTGCAAGTTTTCATCGAGCAAAATATTGGCAGGCTTTATGTCTCCATGAACAAGAGGCATATCGGCCGTATGAAGGTAATTTAGGCCGCGTGCAGTCCCAATGGCAATTGAAGCACGCTGATGCCAGGTTAATGGTTTTACTGATGCAAAATTTTGCTGGATTGTTGCAGAAACAGAAAAAGCACATGTCTGAGATCGTTTAAGGTAGATGGACAAAAAAGTAATTTTTAATGCTAATTGAGAATTAACAGAGTTATGCAAAATTATCTTTTAAATCGTATTAACTCACATAACATTCATATGTAACCTTGCCATTTTGGAGTAGCTTCATCAGGCGTCACAGTCATAATAAAGGGAAGAATGACGTAGCTAATACTAACCTTTCTCTTGAGGCGATCATCGAGGCTTCCACCAGACATGAACTCGTATACAATGCACGACTCACTTAGATTGTCAACGGAAACGCCGTACAGAGCGAGAATATGTGGGAAGCGACACTTTTCAAGTACGCGTAGCTCAGTCAACATCTACAATTCGGAACATAGTTAATATGTTAATGTGAGCGCAAAAAATTATTATTGAATAAGTACTTAAAACTTTAATCGGAATTCGGAAAGGGTCATTCAAGCCATTACATATAGCCAGAGTAAGTAATCATTCGTATCTCACCCGGATAAGAAATATAATTCACCTAATTCCTTAGTAGTGCCAAATAGCTCGACAAATGCTGCCTTTTCCTCTATGTAAAATGTACAGATAATGATTTGTTCCCTGGCCTAGGTACAAAAGACAGAGAGAGCGAAAAGTCAAGAAAAAGTATTCAGCTAAAGTAGTTGTCTTACCTTCTTTTCTATCAATATTATAGGATCTTTTTAAAGATTTGTGAATAAGACCATACAAGTAAACCTTAAATTGAGTTCATGAATCGCATGTACATAAATTTACTCATTAATGTAAAGTTAAACGATGCACCTTTTTCTCATGCACATTGTTTAGCACACCTTTATTAGGCTGTACTAAAAACTATGCACAATATGTGTTTGTTGATTTGCAGAAAAACGATAACTTCATTAGCTCATAAAGGAAGCTATTAGAACTAAAGAAAGCTCAAAATTATGATAATGTAACCGTCAGGCTGAGGCCGACACTCGATCCACTTGAAATAGATTTTACCCTGCTGTGTCCGGTACTACGTAAATTATATTACTCAAACCTTCTTTTTGAAAAAAATAATTAGGTTATGACTGTTGCCGCGCAAAACTTGGTATGCGTATTTTGGGTTCTTGTAATCCAACTCATCGGTCTTGTTAAGAAAATAGTTTGTCATCTGTTTGATTTTTAACTAGCAATCGCATGTAGAGGTAATGACAAACGATTACCAACCGAATAAAGTAAATACAGTGAAATGCAACGTTTCATTAGATTCTGGCTGCACTGGTTAAAACGTGGTAAACGCTGCTTCAAGCGAAAAACAGACCCACACGTTGCAAGAATGATTTCCTTGTACATAGGGGACGAAGAGCTCGTTCCAGGCGATGTAAACCGTATAAACTTGCCGGCGCCTCCCACTTTTCTCAGTCTGTAACACCATTTAATACAAATCCGATCCTGACGGAAAGTGAAGCTTAAGGGCGTTGCGATTGCGTTAGTTGCTTTATAGGAGTCAGCTTCAACCGTTAGGGTGAAATGGGACGCTATCATGTGTCGTAATGAATCAGTCTCACCCAATAGCGTGTCTAAGGTATTGATGCCGTAAAGACAGGTTTGGTTCTGTAAAAAATGCCGCAACCGGTATCCCACATACCGATCGAATAAGAAGGTGCGCCTCGCTTTTCGGTTGTGCTTCTGGATGACGTGATGGTGAAGGAACCTGAAGTAAGCAGATGGGTGCACCTAAGCTATGAACACCTTCTCTAAGATAGTTCAAACTTCAAGCTAGTTGCTAGTGAGGATCGCAGCGTCGCTGCAGGAACACCTTTCATTACCGTAACAAAAAAAGACTATCTATATTGCACTTCTTACTGCATTAGCACTTGTCAAGTAAGTTTTTCCATCTTCGGTGAAAGCTCCGTAGAAACGAAGCAACGAAACAAGAGCTATTTAAAATTCATAGGAAACCTGAAATAAGCATTAATGCCACGCTAAGGCTCATTTCGCGGAGTTTAGATAGCAAGCCTTTGTCCATAAGTAGGGTCACAAATACAGGCGATTTATCATTCTTTCAACTTAGAAACAGAATTGGGAAACGGATACGCATAATAACACTTTGCTCATTTACTTAAGAAGAAAATGAAAGCCGATTCTATACTGGGCACTCTTATGGTTGGGTAAAATTTCAACTTCCATATTAGGAAACAAAGCATGTGCAGTCTCAAAGCAAGTAGAAAAAGTAAAGTGATTGCATAAGACTACTTAAAGATATGCCGTGAGTGAATGGAATATCACGTTAGTGAAAGTAATAGTTGCAATGAATACATGTAACATTAGTCCTGTGCTCTTTTTGTACTTTCTTCTATTAGGTATCTATATCATTTTCTGCAGTGAAAAAGAATACTAGTCTAGACATCCGAGAGCATGCAACTGCCTCTTGAATACAATAGGAGCAAAAGCATAGTTTCAGGCGAAATCTTCTTTGTACTTAGTAGGCTATTTGTAAAACTGTTAAAACAAGCATCGGTCATTGCAGCCAACAACGTGTGTCGACAACTGTCATACAACAAAAACATATGTCGACACTGTTGCTTGGACAGCTGCACTTCTAACTGAAAAAACTGCGATCGCTGACACGGGACGCTGACATTTCTGCCCTATATACGTATACCTATATATATCATATTTTTTCTAATGACATAAAATTTACTAAAACAAGCACATACAATATAAATAAGAAATTGCAATAATAAGTAGTTTAAGATAATTTCTAGGCTAAGGTGGTTTTTCATAGTGAACTATCTGCTGTTTTAAACAGCGACATATACTATCCGCCAGTGTCCTACGGCACCCAACTTAAACTTATATGACTATATAGACACTACTACTCTGCATGCACGATGGAATTATGGACAGAGGGAGTAGAAGTAATAAATCTACTTCATACAGAGATGTTTAAAAAATCATCCTTAGCGTATCATAATATAATTGTTTTAATTTAATTTTTGCAAGAGAGATTAAATAGAAAAAGAAAGTCGCAAATAAAAATCAGACAGAACGTTTTCATAATGTACAATAGACCATTGCTCAACAACTAGATCGAGCCGAATCACGAAAATGAATAATTGACGACTATTATAAGTAAAAACGCGGTTGTTGTAATTTATGATGACAAGTTCTCCTAACAAATCTAAAAAAAGCAGAGGAGCTAATATGGGAGCTATTCAATTCAATATTTGATTCAGCAGTCAGTTTACCTGTCGTACGTGTTCCCTGTTTCCGGGTTGTGTACTCAGATGGAGTTTTTTTACAGCGACAGTGGTGTCCTTCCAAAGACCTCGGTAAACGGTTCCAAAGCCACCTTTGCCGAGCATATTATTTTTAGCGAAGTTTTGAGTAGCTTTTGCTAGCTCGGCATAAGCAATATGCCTAATCGGCTCTAGATCGATATCTAAAATAGAAACGAGTTCAGCATCATACACGATTAATATTGAAAAGTATGAGAGGGGATTATAAACAAATGTTCTATACGAAACCGATTATGCAGTCTCAGTGCGACTTTTTACGCTTGTTAGGTACGATAGATGGTATTTGGCATTTGTTGCGTATTAGTACTTCAGCATAATACAAACCCTTGAAGTTGATCTCAGCATTCATGTTGACATCGTGTAGCTTTACTGGTGATGAATCTTTCTGCGTCACCTGGGGCTTAAGTGAAAGAACCTTGATGCCCGATGACAGGAGTTCTTGATGAAACCGATCGAGCTCCGCCTAAAAATGCATGCAAACGTTTGTATACACAACCCATAATCAATCAGAAGTTACTTTCACCTAAGCTACATTCAAGATTACATATGATGGAGGATTGAATTGTAACTGTTATTAAACAGCTCAGCACCCTTCCTGGCTTTGCGGCACAAGCCGCGGCTGCCTTCGCGATTTTTGCGCCATGCAGCTTCGCGATTTCCTTTGTTCTGTTTGCTGTTGAGGATGGCAGCTTACTGTCGTGGCCCTTGAGGTAACCTTCTTTACAAGGACTATACACGTTGCGACTATCGACTTGTAGCTTTGGCTTCATCAACATTTGTTCCGACTCCTGTAAAATAAACAAGACGTGTAATAACTAAACATACCAAGCTGAAATGGCATGTTTCTGGAGGTTATAATTTGTACTGTCGCCTACATTTCACACGAAGTGGACGTTCATGCGATTAACGAAACAGGCCTCAAACTGCCTGCTTGATAGTTTATCTGTGAGTAAATATGCGACGAGTGTACTTCACCTAGCCTAACAGACTAAGTGACTGAACACTAAGTCCCAGACCACCATTAGTCGACACATGCGTCCAACTATTATTTAATGAGCTCGGCACCCTGGACGCACCGCATATCGTCACATATAACTGAGAGTAGATTTTCGTGTATTTGAATAGAAAAGCGATTTTCTTTTACGTGCGACTTTTACCATATATATTATTGGCTTAAAATTCTGTTTTTATAAACGAAAAAAATAGATTCTCAATTGGACAGGAAGGAACTTAACTGTCTGAGCATATGATTCTCGAAACGCTGAATTAATTTATTCTAAATGTAAACATAAATTACCTAATATCATTTACGTCAGTTCAACTTACTTTAAATTATAAAGCTAATAAAAATTAATTGCATAAATGTTTCTAGTGTGAGTCCAGGCAAATTAATATATAAAACCACGGTCGTATCTGAGCAGTAAGCACTCTGAGCTTGGGGGTCGACATATACGGGACTGTACATAAACCCTACAATGTTTTTGTTTTTCTTTCGATTACAACCTTCATGTTATTGCTTCCACTATTGATTTCATCTTTCGCAGATCATATCACTACTTACATATGGAGGAGCTGATGGCGGTTCGAAATGTCCTGATAGAAGCGTAGAAGATGCATCTCCATTGCTGTTGCCTGCACCCAGTAGACGCCAGTGTCTTGGATCAACTATACATCAAGAATCACCAACATGAGTTAGAGGGCTCCCGTTAATTACATACTGGCATTCATTTTGCGAGGGTTATACTGCTTCAAAGAAAAACAAAACAAAAAAATGACTTTTATTTTATTTTGTACAAGTTTACGAGCTCAATGCTCGTACGCTGTACGTAACGTAAAAGCGATTGATTTAGCCAATAGAACGTCGACATCACATTATTCCGACTACTGGGCTTAATGTTCTTACATTTAAAAAAATACGAAGTAGTCGTATGGACAACGGATAGAAACGCGGCCAGACTTCAATAACTTTTAAACTAAAGTATTCTGACATAGTACGTACGAAACGAAGTCCTTATGTGTAATTGTTAACAAAAGGAATACAGTACGAAGACCGTTATATTCTAAGCGAGAAAAGGTCATTACAAGCATATGCATGTAAGTTACAGTAAATTGATTATTGTCTCTGCGATTGTTATTTTTTGAAGACCATGACATTATTGTTGTTATTAAGCGAACATAATATCCAATCCTTATGAGCGTGCAAGTCTCCAAACAAAATTTCATTGGAGCATTGGGTGTCTGTAACTTCGATAGCATTCATTGTTCAACCATTGCGGAAGATTTTACTTCGAGCTGTCAGAAAACTATCTATCTGTGAGAGAACGTTTTCCAGTTTTTGAAACGGTCCAAAATTAACTGCGTCATTTATCAACCCTGGCGGCACTACATCCCGCACTAGTAATACATGCAAATTTATATGCGAACGCCTTTGTGCATTGATGTTTTTTGAGGCACAACGAGTATAGCGTCGAATAACGTAAACGCCTAGGTAAAACCTAACCATTGTACCGTATGCTCATCTTCCATATAATTTATATTGAGACATCTATTATGAAGGGGTAGTTCTGTGCTATAAATAACTTGGCATCACATATAGGATCACAATGTGAACAAAAGATAAAGAAGATTTGATATTCAACTCACCATAATCTTTGAGGATGTGCATGCCCTTATAGTACTCCATGGCGTGTAAATACTTGAATAACTGGCTGATACGGCCATTTCGTTCACCGAACTTTTTGAGAACTTCTTCGGAAGGACTGCCTCCGCGCAGGACTGCGTTTGCGAATAGCTTAATGTCGACTGTTTCTATGTCCATCAGACCAGCTGGAAGTGCGACACAGCAATTTATATAAAACCTAAATCCAAAATGCGCAAGTCTATGCCGCGGAGCGAAGATGTTATCTTGTGCTATCGACACATCCTAGCTGCCATTATTCAACCTAAGAGCTTTATACTGTCACAGTAGGCAAAAGTTTAAAACGGACCTACCCAAATGGTCCCATTTTCTGTCAACATCGAGAAGCTTGCATAACTTCGAATGGGCATTATATGGTAGCTCGTGCACGTATCTTCTTCGCCTTTCGGTCGTGTAGTGCGAAGTTGGTGAGGGAGGCATCGATAACCCGCTGGCGTCTAGATGAGGCGTTCGGGAGCTGCGTGGAATTCCGTGCGGAACTTTCGCCATTGCTGTAAAGTATATGTAGAAGCACAGTCAAAACACTTAATACTATTATACTAAAAGACGGACCTAGAGAAAAATAACTTGACTAGCTAAGCGATAGGGCATGAAATGTTTAAAATCTACATGTTCAATTAATCCAGACGGCTTCTCGGAATACCAACATTTCAGTGTTACTATCGAATAGTTACATCCGTAACAAATATGAGTCTATTTTTGAAAAATGCAAATAAATTTTGCAAGCTCGTGTCTCATTTTACTTTAACAAATAACAATTTGAAATATTAGGTATCGTCTATTTTATTAAATGATGACCTCATGCATTTGTTTGATGATCTGCGAAGTTCAATAACAGTACAAGCAAATGATATGGAATGGTAAAACAATATTTTACTTACTTGAAAGTAGGTATTAAAAATAGCAAAGACAGCAAATAATAAAAAGCAAAATACACTCTTTTTTCACCAAAACAGGTCCGCTTTACAAATATATTCGTACCCCATACATATCTCTATGTCGATCTGTCTTACCCTGTATAATTATCATTTGTATAAAAGGTAATGCTATATCTTGCGTAAACAGCTTATATTAGCTTCAACTCAATGGTATTTATATATGGTACAAGATGGCGGTGTCTTGTGAAGTTGAAGCGCTGATCTCAGCACTTGTCAAGCACAAACTCCCAGCAGCGGCGAATTCAGCACTGATTATATTCGGCTACCCACGATGGGTGTTGTGGGTATTTAGTAGTACTTTATTAGATAAAAAGAAATTGCAATCATAAAAGGCCGGAGTTCTATTTTATCCTGTTTTACATTTGACCATTTCTACGTTGTACTGCCAAAAATCAATGATATCCAAAGGAGACCGAAACTCATAATCGTTCCATTACCATCTTCATTTTTGAAAATGAATAACATAAAAATATTCTAATCACTATTTAATTTCGTTAGTCGACTCCCTAATCAAGACCTCTGTCCATTCACGAACATCATATTGTCGAATTGCAGTAGGTATTTCCGTATTACACTAATGTGACAAAGAAGTTTGGACTACATCCCAAAAAGTAGTCTACGCACACAGTTCGGTCCAACACTGCTTGAAGCGCTACTGCCTATTGTCTACCAGTGTATTTGGACTAGCAAACTTTACTGAGTCATCAACGCTCACACTGTACTTTATCAAAACGGCGTAAACCGAAGATTGTAAGGTAATTGCCGGCCATCACTTTGTAAGATGAGACGCAAGATGCAAGACGTCATGGGCGACGAATGACGTCTCCAGAGCAGCAGGGTGTATTCTATAATAGTAGGGTAGAACGAAAACAACCAAAAATATGCGCCACAACAACTATGAACCAAGTTAAGCCGAATCCTTTTGTGGAGAACTCAGGCTTTGTTCAGTGCAAAATCTACATACATGAAAAAAAAATATGAACTTACGTAGACTGTCATATCACGAGTGAAAATGATATTATTATACCTTACACAACATTGACATTTCTATTGGAGACAAAGAATATATCCTGCATGAGACTGTTTGATGAGACTCGACGTATTCAATATACCATGACCAATGGTGATCTTTTAAGCATCTGCATTTGAAGCCTTGCTAAATTTTTTCAATTTTATTGAGGCCACCTTTACTGCTTACTCAATCATTACTTTTTTTTTTAAAACTAACAACCCTGGAATGGTTTTCCATACAAAGGAAGCACGGTGACATTTATAATACTATATTACTGAATTAGGGATTCGTTCGGTATGTACAGTTTGTGAAATACGTAAACAAAAGTAAAGCTCCAGTGTTGATGTTGTCACCCGATCCACTATCATTACCCATTACGATGCTGAACGTATGGTCAGAACGGCTGAACGAAATGCCAAAACGCCAATCGTCCTTGATCTAAATGCCTCTAATTTTACGTCAGACAGCCGGCTCTGAGCATAAACGTATCTACGTTCGTATTTGGCTTCAGACCACTACGTTGCTTTTGCTCAAACACTGATCGACAGTACACATCATCAGAGTTTGCCAATCCGTACTTTTCGCGCCACTCGAAACACTTGTAGCTTTGTCGATGACTATTGTGCTCGACAAACAGTCACATCGTCAAATTTCCTCCATATGATCACATAGAAGAGAACTAACAAAGATCCGCCACTTAATCGGCTTATTATCATATCAAAACTCGATGCACGCCACCTGTTCGTAACCGGTCCATAGAAAGGAGCACCTCACAAAATGTCCGCCACTGTACCCACACGAGGTCTTTGTTCGCTTGATGTGGCTTCTTTTCACGGAGTCTCTACGAAAAATATTGATAAAATAACAAACATCCACCTTAAAACTAATGGCAATTCCAGATGGATGTATCGTAGACATCTGTTTGAATGTTTCTTGCTCGGGGATTTCCCTACAGACAGCAGCGCCACTTCCCGTGTCGACTACCCGCAAAGCCTTGCGATGCGGTTACAGAAAAATTAAATGACATCTCATCGTACAATAAAAATAATATAACAACCTAGTTCAAAGCTTACACCTTCACTGCACTCATCATTTACCGTCTATTCTTGAAAGGTTCCTAGTAGAATTTCAAAACAGCGAAAACCTTTTAGCCACATGAAGAAATCAGCTGTGTGTCGCTTGGACTCTGTGCGATTTTGGTGTCCGACTGGGTATCTGTATTTGTGCGTGTGTCTAGCTTTACCTGTCTGCCTCAGTGGCCCTGGTTGAGTACTCTGCTCCGTAGTTTGAACGGAGTGCCTATAGGTCTTTGTTGTTTGTGCTGACGACCCTGCACGCGTCTCCGACTAAATAACGCACGGTCCGCCAAAATACAGCATGGAACACGTGCATTGTAAACATAAACCGACCGTGGCAGATAGATTTCGAAAACATCGAGCGCTCCCCATAGACGAACATCTTATTTCATTAAAAAGGTGCTACTCTGTACGTGTATAATTAGAGATAGAATTTGTTCAAATTCTAATGATTCAGAGTTGCTGTTGAGTTCTATTTGAGTGAAATAGCATATAAGTTCGTTTGTGAGTCGGCTCTGTGTGGTTTTTTTGTCTAAATTTCTTTTTGTTTACGGTTTGATAAAACGTACAGATATCGTGTTTCGCATAAAGCGGGAATGTTTTAAAGGATATACCGATCACGTAATAGAAAAACGATGACGTTCAAAGACGCCATGGAACATGTGCTAGGTGCAGGAGGACAGAAAAGAAAGAAGAGCTTAGACGATAAAGGAGTTGTTGATTCTGGGAGCAAAATTTCGCCACGACAACATAACAAACGGAGGAGAAGCGCTGGCTTTTTTGATCTAGGTTCTTTTGTTGACAAGGTTAAAGCGCGCGACATCACCATTGCAGAAGGTACGTCGAGGATGTCACGATATGAATAAAAGATATTAGTAATTTTTAAATGCGTTGATTTATCGTTTTTTTTCTGTTGGTCTAAATAAAGCCTCTATAAAGCCCGTTTACTTTCGCCATTTTAATCAGCACAATATTCCGACTATAATAAATGCTTAATAAACAAGAGATCTCCATTTTTTCGGGTAGCCATTTCCTCAGCCTGTAGTAACGTTAACTGAAGAGCTGAGCTGATAGTAAATTAAGAAGGAAAAGATTAATAATGGAAAGAGTTGATGTACCGAATGTTTAGCTTGTACATGTTTTTGATGCGATGAAAAAAAACTATTTTGTGTTGGCCAAATACACGTCCTGCACTCTGGTTTAAATAGGTTAGACGCTTAATTTGTCCTTTTCTCCATTTTAGACTTGGCGTGGTTCTCTGAGCGGGCGCAAACCTTTCAGGAAACAAAAGTTTCCATCGATGTTGTACGTGAATATCTTCAGATGTGTGATTGCGACCTGGAACACTTAGTGTCATACCTTGACATATATAGTGAAGATCGGGAGTCCCTGCTCCAAGTCATTCTCGCTCTAGATTATATCTTCATGAGGTTTCAGGAACAGGAAGACGAAACCCCAACAGTAGCCAGTCTTCGCTCAAAAGTCATCATACAGGCACAGAGAGTTTTATCGCAGCAGGGGTCACAACTGGCAAGTCTGCTGACTCACGATGTATGTTACCCTTCCGTTACGTCATAATTTAATACTTAAGCTTATTTTTATAATCCGGGTTTATTTTCATACATACAATTGGCGTTTTATAATGCTTTGTGTTTACTGTTCATCGTTCCAAAAAAACAGGAAATTGTTCAAACCTTTGTTTAACTACATGAGCCAATTTCTACTCTCAGTTCAATCGTAAGTGTGATCCACGGCATCTTACGATTCTTAGTCGCGAAATCATTTTTCGATTACAGTTTTCTGTTGGTGATTGAGCGTCGTTAGCGGTAGCCGTTTTGTGGCTTTCCTCGAGTTGTGGCACACATAGTACATAATAACCTCTGCTAATATCAAATTCTTATGCATGTCATTATTATATTAATTAGAATTTCTAATAAACTGGCAAGCGATGCGAAGTTGGTAGTGCGACCGTTTTACCATCTAAGATTTGACCTCAAAATTCTTCATATACTATGCTTTCACATGTTTTAGGGTAAAGGCTTTATTTTAGTCCTTGTGCTTATAATGTCCCAGCGATTATGCAGTAGTAACACGGTTCCTGTGTAACCGGATAGAGCCAGAGGTAGCCTCAATTCGAATCGGGGCATAAGCACACTCTGGTTCTCCACCAAATATCCGATTAACGGAAAAACCGACCAATATAGCTATTTCTTTTCGTCAAATCCCTTCAGATTGTTCGTATTGAGTTTCCTACCCTGCCAGGCCATTAAGGCAATGCTAAACGACTTTACGGAGGCCTGTCATAAAAAAAAAAACAGCTAGAAGTTGGCTACGGAGAAAGTAGTTATAGCGTCTTTTATTTTTTCAGGGCGATCCAGTCGTCATGAAGCCTGTCCTCAAGCTCTTCACCTCAATGGTACTTGCCGGACCTGAGGTGGCGGATGTATTCGTGCAGTCGATCGATCTTTCGTTCCTCAATGGGTGCTTCACTCGCGTGCGAATAAGGGAAACGATTTCGGTATTTGTCCGCGCCAATAAAGACTATACGAATAATGCACATTATTGAATAGCATCATAGCTGCGTTACAAAGATCTTCACTTATAATGCAAACAGAGATAAAAAATATATGGTAGCCAACTCCATTGCACTTGGTTATAAAAAAAAAAAAAACATTGTGCAGTTAGGCGATAACTGTTCGTCTGCTACGGACATCTTTACTATATCTAACGCAGTCGGCCTCGAGTCAAAATCCGGTGCTTATATTCAAGTGTCCCGTAGCGACCTATCGAAAAACAAATTGTAATTTACCATTTGTTTAATTGATTAGGGCAATATCATAAATGAGTAAGGCAGTATCTTTAAATGTTGAGAGCTATCGAATCGCGCAGAACAAACTTCGCTGCTAAGGTTTTTGCCCTCTACGATGGCACTCTCACCCGCCAAAATTCTAGACGATTAATGTCCAGCAAATGTGCGTGTATTTAGATAGCAGACGATCGAATTAACTTGTATCATATTCATCCGTAGATTCGCACTTGTGCTCAGTATCTTCTGATCGCTCTGCTTGTCATCTCGAAGCGAACAACACTGTGGCGTCTCCTAGAACAACAGTCTATTTTTCCTTGGGCGTTCGCCGGTCTCGTTCATGATCGACCTACTGATGTGATCGGATTTCTCGAAACAATTCTAGAGCGAGTTGTCAACAACAGCTCACTCAGCAAAAGTCTCAAAATTAATATTCTCAATAAGACCACACTCACACCCGTCCTATCCTTGTTGATTTGGAAGGGGCAACTCGAATGGAGAGGCAAAGAATGGAGTCGAATGTAAGCGGAAACAATTACCATGCAGCTATTTAGCTTTTACGAAACCCTTTCGATGACGTTAGTTTTCGTTACTTAATGACAGGAGCTATATTCGTTCAGTTATCGTTAAGCGATAGTTATATTTAGTAATCTCGCAACGTACATATTGCGGTATTTCTGATGAACTTTAGAATACCTCCTGTACAGATCTTCGTGTCTAAATCTAATAATAGTATAACTGACGCTTTTGTTTGAATTGTAGATTTCTGTATACAAAGAAAGCCAAGGACGCAAATACGGCTGAGTTAATTCGGGGCAACGAGCTGATTGTAGCCACTCCGGCTGAACAAAAGAACGTCAGAGCATGCGCCGCCAAAGTGCTGTCTGCGATCTTTTTCAATAGCAAACAGGTTTGTCAATAACACAGTAGAACGTGCGTCAGGTACAAATTTGGATGTTTAGATGAAAATTCATAAGCTATTTGTGGCTAGCTGAGAAAGGATTTGCCAAGAACATAAATTAAATAGGCTTATTTTTTTTAATTGAACAATTAACAACTATCAAAGGTAGGACCATATTTTAACTATCTGCACCTGGACCAAATTTTTCTCCTTTTTTTATGTTGTATAGGGCATCTCGTTTCGAGACCCCCGTCTAGGTCTCGGTGAACGCAATTGTAATTTCATTGTGACTCAAGTCGTCAGCAGTTGTCCTCAAGTGTTCTCCGAACCTCAAGGAGCGGATTTCATGGCGGACTTGCTGACCGCACTACCCGACCAGATTAAATATATTGTGGTTGACCGTTATTTCAACTTCAGGGCACCCAGACTTTCTCGGACATACTGCAACTTCTACCGAGCGCTTTCTAAGGTAGGTCAGCGGGATTTTCGAATAGGAGAAAAAAAATATTTGAGAAACCGATGCCGTATACGAATTTGACGGTTTAACGGACGCACTTTAACCGAGTTACATAATTGAAGCGCACTAATTTGTAAATGTGACTAATTCAAGCTTAACCTGACATAAGTGGTGGTATTTGTTTGCAGATAGTTACTCAGCTAGACTTCAGCCAGCTCGTTGCTAAACTGGAGCCCACATCTGCCGACCAGTATATCGATCTGGTGAACCATTTCTGCTTGTTTTTATTTGTTCCGAATAATTTTGCGGACTACAAGCTGACGCCAATCTATGCCGTGCTAACGTTCATTAATGCGATGCTCAAAAAGCTGATTGAGTTTATGGCTTCTATAAGCCGAGAGAAGAGGCGTGTGTTAATACCGTTCATTAAGGATCACATCATGCAGCCATGTATGTTTGCAAGGTTCGTACTGCGGCAAGCTTTCTGAGTGAAATATTCTTGTTTATTTTTCTAGATGGATAGATAAAAATAAGTAAATCTCATATAAGCCTAAAGTTCCCTTATTTTGTATTACAGCAGTGCATTATAGGAAAATATAAATATTTTTAACGAGAAATTTTACTGAATTTCTGGTGTTGTATCTTGCAGTCTTCTGAAATGCGAGTTCGATGCAAAGCAGATTGCAGATCTTACCGAGTACACGGGAGCTGATGTTGCTGACTTCACACTGTCGTTGCTCGAGACCACGGATTTGCTTACATCGCCAATCCTTGGCTACATTTCGGCTAACATCGGTTGGGGTTTATTGGCCGATGTCGATGCCTTTATTAAAGGCAAGGTGTCACCTGTTAAGAAGTTGAAAATCTATTTACGTCTCATCGGCATGGTGTTAAGTTTCCAGCCAAATTTTGAAAATGAACTTGTCAAAACGGATATGGAGCCAATGCGTCTTCTATTTGGACTTTTGGCTGAAGCCTCAACTACCAGCTCGTTTCAAGTCGAGCTTTTATCACACGCAATTAATGTGCTCGAAAAATTCCCAAGATTTGCCAAGTATGGCGCTGAACTGGAATTATGGGTATCCACTGTACTTTCCTCAGATCAGCCGGATCTAAATCACGCGTATTCAATGGCTTTATGTGATGCTCTACGAGACAGTATCATTAAGGGAGGCGTACTTGAGAACGAAATTCATGAGATGGTTTTTGATGGGCAGCAAGGAATTCTAGACCCTTCGCGATGCTTCAGCCCAATCTCCGCAAACATTGTCTCGCTAGATCATGATAAATACCCTGTGTTTACGGCGGTTATGCGGGAGATCTTGCATAGACAAGCAAATTATGCTGCATACATTACATTTCTACAAAAGCATGGAAAGAATCGGCTTGATACCCACTTTACGCACTATATGAATTTCCTTTTGAAAGGCGAGAAGCCGTTTGTGAATACGGGTTCGCTGAACGTGAACAAGTTCTCGTCAGAATTGGCCATGCAACTAGAGAGCGCTTTTGTGGCTTCAATGACAGGAGGACACCCTAAGTCGCTGGAACGAATGCTGGTGAAGATCAAGTTTTCGGATAAGGATGCTGTCAATGTGTCCTTGCTGAACCAACTCATCTTCATTGTTCGTTGGTGCCAAGATCATGATCAGACTTTGTTCATAAACCCGGTTGCAACTTGTTTACGGTACCTGACTGAAGCTTGTGACCCGCTCACTCTAAGCCGGCTGGCTGATTTTATATCGTCGGACGTAATTCAAAAGCGATTCTGCGTGCGGAGCGATTTAGAAGTGACACTAATGGTCCTTGTCGTAATTAAGCGTGTCTTGCAAGCTAAAGTAGATGTTGGCTTTGACTTGATATCCTTCAAAGACCGCTCGCTAGCTGCAGTACTTAACGGTATCCTCGATGTGGTGCCGTTTATTGAAGCTTTTGGTGACATGTCTACCGGTGAAGACGTGGCGTCATTAATCGAATTCATCTGCAACACTGGGAAGGCTGCGAAGCAATCGCTATATTCCGTGATCTCCCTGTTACCTCATAAAGGATGTAAGTTATCGACGGAGAGCACGAAGCAACTAGTCGAATTAGCCCATCAGGACGCTGAGATGCGCTCCCCAATAGAGGCTTTTTTCAAGCGAAACCTTATGCATGCGTCAGCCATCGAGATGACCTCGCTCTATCGACTCATCGAGGTTGAGGAGCCCATTTCGCTGACAATATTGATGGCGAACCCATGTTTCGTTCGTGCAATAGGAAAAAAACTCAGGAGTGTTGGTGATCTTAAAGGTGAGCGGGAATGGGCAAAAAGACCTACTAAAATTCAGATATAGTTAGTGAAAATATGTCGCTAAATTAATATTTGTGATATTTCTACTAAATTGATATTTACGTTCGGCCTCGAGTTATATAAGCAGGTAATAAGAAAACAATCTTTTCGGTGTTCTTAGCTCGATTTCTACGCCCTTCTATTTACAATAAGATTTTTGATCGATAAAGTCCTTTGATAACTATAATAGTAGAGGAACCTAAATAAAACTTTAGGTCGCTTAACAAACTCTTATGGGATATTTTGATATCATCCTATATGATGATGATCCTATAATATCACCAGTATCATCCAGACACTTGTGTATTTATTACAGTTCCAAATCTCTTCATAGTATTTCAAACCTATCGGATAATGCATATACATTTAAGGATGTCTAACTTACTTAACTCACATACAGGATCAGATTGTGTGTACTCGCTGGAGCTTCTGCGAATCATTGCCCATGAAGACCACGAAAACCCGTCAAAAGAGACTTCAGGCTTTATCTATCGTTCGTTATTAGCCAGTCTTAAGAAATATCTTCAAAAAGGCGAACTGCAGAACGAAGCAACCGTTGTTGCTCTTGTTCAAGCTCTCCTTGATCATCTGCAACACGCTGTAAGTGCCAATGCAAAACCTATTTTCCTACCAGGTTCGCATATGTATATACTTTAAAACGAATATTGGTTTTTCATACGAGACTAACTTGTTCCAGGTCTTCATCTTCTCCAAGGATTACGTAAAGTTGCTGAAGACAGTTTTGCCATTCGTCGATAAAGTAAGCGTTCTGTTGTTGGTTGTGATTAATGCTGTTCTTGAGTTTGGAGATTTCTCGGAGGATGCCCTTATTGCAGCCTTAAAATGTCTAACGAAGCTGACTACACGCCTCGATACACCTACTGGTGAGCATGCTATAAGGATGTTGATGATTAAAACACCTGGTCCTAAAACGCGAGAGCAAACCGGTGTTGAAATGACATATATTTAGATGTATCCAGCATTGCTCGAGAAACATTAAATATAGCACAAATAACGCTAATCTTACGCTATTAACGCACAGTACGACTCGTTACCTGCATTACAATTTTAAAAGAGATAAGCATCCTTATATTAGGAAGGGGACAGTATACATACGACGCTTTCACTTGTCTTCTCTGTATTGTGAAATCCTTTCAGAAACTTACATGTCCCGCTCATGTGTTGTCCTCGAAAAGCAGTCGGAGTCAGCCTGGAAAAGCGTTTGGCTGAGAGAGAACTTTGAACAAGTTCTTAAAAGCCTTTTAAAGCGGGGTTTTACTTCTGCTGGCACACCTCTGCGAGTGTTGCGCATCCTCTGCTCGAAAGTGTTCGTATTCGCTTCTCCGGCGGTAACTGCGCTTCAAGCAACTGAGATGGTCTTCGGCCATTCGAAGTTCTTGCCCACGTTAACTGGCAAGGACTCGTTACTCAAACAAGAATTAGTGCAGCTACTTATAACTCTGGTAGAAGTAGATGGGCCAAATGTATGTAAAACGCCACATATTCCAATATTGTTGTCAGGATATGATGCTAGTTTGTCCCTTAGTGATCAACGCCTATACCATTTACTAAGCTTGTACGAAAAGAATAGAGCCAATCTTGCCCGATTCCAACCTCTCATCTGGGGTGAAGCTGCGCCCTCGTTCTATTCGGTCGACAAAGGTACATCGGGTGTGTCGGTACTCAAGAACGCTACAATTAATCAGGTTTTGGCACAGATCTCACAACAGCGTCTATTAGCAAGTGTCGGATGTATACCGCAGGCTTCGTTAGCTCTCGATCCGGCCGTTATCGTTCAGGTGGACCAAGGAGCGGAAATTTATGATCCGCGTTTTGTACAAACGAGTATCTTGCATATACTGGACGAGTTGAGTGAAGTTCAAACGATTCGTCTTATCGAAGAAAAGATCCAGCTACTGTCTATTGCTACACTCTCGGCGAAGTGTGATCAACTTCGCGCGTTAGGATATACGGTATGTGTTTTTAAAGAGTCGTTTTTATTCTAATCACTAGAATCTCTAGATTCCTTTAGGAGAAATCGTTGAACGTGATTAGATAGTCTGTACTCTTCACCTTGTCGTCTTGTTAGAACTGATTGGCACTATAACTTATTACATTCTTCTTAATGCGTATACGTTTCTCATTTACAGTTTCTGAGTCGTATCTACAAGAAGATGGAGCGAGTTAGCTCACACCCTGTTGTCCTGTATATGATGGCTATACTGGATCTGCTGCGTAATTCGCTGGGTACTGAAGGTGTACGCCGACTTAATTCGTTAACTGTTGGCTACCTAATCCGGTGCTGTGAAGTAGTCATTAGTGATCCCAGTAAGTATTACAAAAAAGCAAAATACTAGTTCGATTTCTTAGTTCGGATTTATTCAATTTCGATTAGTCTAGCGCTTCTCTTGCCGCGTAAAACCGAGGTTCGATTTCGTTCACTAGAGTGTTTGCGAAAGCGGAATAAACTCGACGGTAGTCTCTGATTAATAAGAGCAACCGAAAAGTTCGGTTGCTCTTATTAATCATAGCCGTCGGCATAAACGGGGGGTCTTGAGTATAGAAGTCGTCACTAAACGTATTAAACTCTATTTTCAGACCACCCGTTGTATAACCAGTTAATACGTAACTCTCTGGCTCGTCCCGCCTTTAATATTCATCGATTGCCTTCACTTTTTGGCCATTATATCAGTTCGTCCATGGCTTCCCGCGAGCGTCGCATCTGGATCGAAGCTGTTCTTACTGATTTCGTTCAAGACTCTCGCGATATGGAGCTGCTGTACTCGCAGGGTCTCTTCGACAACATTATCATGTTCTCGCAGTCTCGTCTTTGTAGCGAGGACGAACTGGTAAGAGTTGAGCTAAGAACCATTAGAGCTGGTCAGGAGTGAGGCACTCAAATTTATAAAGGTTATATATAAACGAAGGCTTGCACTGATTGGCGTCGTTTGTCCGTATGTGCAGAACGGTACAAAAATAGAAGAAAAATTCTAAAATGAGATGATTTTTCTTCAGAGAAAAATTTAGGAGGAGTTTTTCTGATCCAGGCAATTCCCACGGCATTTAATTAGGGAAACTATTAGATTCATGCAGTCTAATTAGATAAAATGTCTTTGGCGTTGCATTTTTAGGTGATAATTCTACGCATGTTCAAAAAATGGATCGCAAACGGTCGTTTCAGAAGGTATAATCTAATTGCGTTCTGGTTAACTCAATTACTCCAGTGCGCCGATTCAGTAAGTATTATTAATGACACTGATTTCAAGATTATTATGACAGCGTCCACTTAAAACATATTTAGTACCGTCATGATGTGAATGGTAATAATAACAGACTCCATTCGTTTTTAATTAATTTTCAACTTTTCTTCTGTTCACTATCAGGTAAAAACTCGTTTAATGTTCGTTAGTCTTGGCATAAAGGCTAACGTATTAAGTTCTGGCCAATCGAGCTATTTGTTTAAAATGGAACAACAAAAGAATCACGATGCAGGCTTCATCAGCTATGTTTATTCCACACTGAGCCAGATGGGCATTAATCTGTATTTGTTCAGATAGATAAATAGACCCGCTGGATCCAGGCTACTGCGTCTATCTTAAACCACGTTCATGTTTAGGTCATACCTAGAGGGAACAACAATCTTACTCATTCCATCTATGGCTTCACAGAGATCGCCCGTAGTCAGTGCGGTACTAGATGTAATATCTACGCTTACACAACGTCTGGCTACGCATTCGATTCGAGAGAAAGAAATGCTCCTTCCGAACGAGTTAATCCATTTGCACATCCAGCTACTTCAGTGCATTTCGGATGTTTCTTCATGGCGACTTCGAACGTTTGCTACATCACTATCTCAAGCTTTAGCTTTGCCAGGACTCGGTACCGCAACGTGTATAGCTGAACACACAGCGTTTACTTTATTAGAAATGCTCAAAGAAGTCCGAAGTAAGGCTGAATCTGAAAACATCGACGATGAAGAAACAGCAAATGTCAACTGCAGCGAAGAACAGGTCATTGCAGTTTTGCGAAAGTGGACCCCTTTAAACAATGTGTGGACAAATTTACATATGCAGAAACTGTCCCTGGATGAGTTTTGGCTCGATGTCGTGGAGCTTATATTTAGCCGCGATCATTCATTACCTAATGGTGATGCTATTAAGGAAAGTATATTATCACTAGAAATGTTACACCGGTCATTGAGTCGTCTGCCACGGCTTAGTCGCCAGTTAGAGAGATCCAACGTCCTTCATTCTGTATGTATGGCAATGATACGTTGCACGGACGATGCGCCTCTACTGGTTATTCAGCTGTTTGCGTTGCTGAAAAAATCAGCCAACGTACTTCCATTACTAAGCAGCACCGAGTATAAGGAAGCCGCAAAGAAAATCAGATCTTTAAGTGATGGTATGTTTACAGCATCTGTTAGTTGTCAATGCTCTCGCAATATCATTGGACAATATATTTACATTATATTTGGGACTAATGTGAGTTTAATATAGGTTTGACTGCTCTATTCTTAGAAGTGTTTTGCCGGAGAGCGACAGGACTATTATCTTTGCAAAAACCTATGTGCGATAATTAATCAGATCTCTTACTGATATCGATCATTAGGCTGTTGAATAGATAGTGTGAAGGCCTTAGTAAGCCATCTGAATTGAGCTTAAAATTTGTTTATTGCCGTTTATCGTTAATTATATACAGGGTGGTGCAAAAATCTGCTGGTCTTAATACTTGCACATTTTTCCCATATATATGCACAGCCAATATATA